ACCTGTAATACAGAAAGCTGCGTTTGTGAAGGACGGCCTGACCGGAAGCGCCTGGGGTGACTGGGCCAACTACACTGCCTCTCCGCTCCGAGCGTTCGAGAACGAGCTTGGCGTTCAGGATCCCGTCGGATTTTGGGACCCGGCTGGCTTCACCGCCGACGGCAGCGTGGAGGACTTCAAGCGACGCCGCCAGACCGAGATCAAGCATGGCCGCATTGCAACTCGGATGTTCGTGGTTAGCGTGTAACGCATGTAGAGCGCCTCTACGACACAGAGCTCATCTTGAGCTTTTTTGTTTCTTGCTTTCTTGGGTAGGCCACTCAAGCAAATCCAAGGCCATGCTGGCAGCGATGGGCTACATTACTCCTGAGCAACTTGTCGGAAGCGTTACAACAGGGACGGGCAGAGGAGAGGGTGAAACGTAAAGTTGTTTTATGCGTTTGATTTTTGTTGCTTGCGCTTATATCGCTTGCGACGTACTTCTGGGCTGTTGACATTCGTCATGGCATCGCGCGGTTGGGTTCTGGTTTGCTGCAGTCACTGTAGTCCTTAGTGCTACGGTTGATGGAGGAAATCTTGCACCCTCTTATTAACAACAAGTGACACGGCGAATGAGCATAACCCCGGACCCCCTTTTTAACATGGGCAATGAATGACACCGAGGTTGTGCAAGATGTTTGTCATTGGAACCCACGGCACTTCCGAGGATCAACAGTCAATATTAAAAAGGGGGCACGAGGTCTCTGCTCTGATCGGCCATTTTAAGCGGTGCAAAGATTTCCCCCATCAACAGTACCACCCGTGCTACGTTCATCTCGCGATGCTGCGATCAACAGATGCGTGTTACACGGCTTGTTGCATTGCTTCTTATCATCCACTTTCATCTGTAGAAGTGCTGAGGATCACTGGCAAGTTCCCTGGATACTTGAGCCCATCGGCCGGCTTGAAGTTCGCGGATGTGCCAAACGGCCTTGCGGCGATCTCCAAAGTGCCTGCAGCAGGTTGGGGTCAGATCCTCGCCTACATGGCATTCTGCGAGGTTTCCCAGGACCAGTCGGCCGGCACGGCGGCTGCAGCAGGCGACTTTGGCTTCAAGGTCTTGACCTCCAGCGACCCGGCTGAGAAGACTAAGAAGCTCTCAGCGGAGCTGGCGAACGGAAGACTTGCGATGATGGCCATCATCGGCATGTTCTTTCAGGCGGGAGTATCACATGCGTGTGCCGTTGTGATGACTTCATTGATTTCATTGAGTTGACTTGTCTTCTCCAAAAGTCCAATATTCTTGTTCACTTTAGTTTCTTAATCAGTTTATCAAGTTCTTCATCGTTGCATATTCTTCAGCGATAGTTAGTTTCCTGGTAATTCTGCTTATGAGATGGAACCTCATATGAAAAAACTTCTGAGCTTGTCGGCATCCAGTTCTTTTCGGACAATGCGAATCCTTTGTTGAAACTTAGGTGTGAACGTCGGACCTTCTTTGATAGTGCTAAGGATTGCCGCAAATCCTCAATGAGGTATAATGTGCAAGCAGGCAACTTCTTAAACTCATCTGTTCATTGTGTTTTTGCCAGATGGAAGACTGCAAGTGTCAACCTGTAATACAGAAAGCTGCGTTTGTGAAGGACGGCCTGACCGGAAGCGCCTGGGGTGACTGGGCCAACTACACTGCCTCTCCGCTCCGAGCGTTCGAGAACGAGCTTGGCGTTCAGGATCCCGTCGGATTTTGGGACCCGGCTGGCTTCACCGCCGACGGCAGCGTGGAGGACTTCAAGCGACGCCGCCAGACCGAGATCAAGCATGGCCGCATTGCAACTCGGATGTTCGTGGTTAGCGTGTAACGCATGTAGAGCGCCTCTACGACACAGAGCTCATCTTGAGCTTTTTTGTTTCTTGCTTTCTTGGGTAGGCCACTCAAGCAAATCCAAGGCCATGCTGGCAGCGATGGGCTACATTACTCCTGAGCAACTTGTCGGAAGCGTTACAACAGGGACGGGCAGAGGAGAGGGTGAAACGTAAAGTTGTTTTATGCGTTTGATTTTTGTTGCTTGCGCTTGCATCGCTTGCGACGTAGATCTGGGCCGTTGACATTCGTCATGGCATCGCGCGGTTGGGTTCTGGTTTGCTGCAGTCACTGTAGTCCTTAGTGCTACGGTTGATGGAGGAAATCTTGCACCCTCTTATTAACAACAAGTGACACGGCGAATGAGCATAACCCCGGACCCCCTTTTTAACATTGGCAATGAATGACAGCGAGGTTGTGCAAGATTTTTGTCATTGGAACCCACGGCACTTCCGAGGATCAACAGTCAATATTAAAAAGGTGGCGCGGGGTCTCTGATCGGCCATTTAAAGCGGTGCAAAGATTTCCCCCATCAACAGTACCACCCGTGCTACCTTCATCGCGCGATGCTACGATCAACAGATGCGTGTTACACGGCTTGTTGCATTGCTTCTTATCATGCACTTTTCATCTGTAGAAGTGCTGAGGATCACTGGCAAGTTCCCTGGATACTTGAGCCCATCGGCCGGCTTGAAGTTCGCGGATGTGCCAAACGGCCTTGCGGCGATCTCCAAAGTGCCTGCAGCAGGTTGGGGTCAGATCCTCGCCTACATGGCATTCTGCGAGGTTTCCCAGGACCAGTCGGCCGGCACGGCGGCTGCAGCAGGCGACTTTGGCTTCAAGGTCTTGACCTCCAGCGACCCGGCTGAGAAGACTAAGAAGCTCTCAGCGGAGCTGGCGAACGGAAGACTTGCGATGATGGCCATCATCGGCATGTTCTTTCAGGCGGGAGTATCACATGCGTGTGCCGTTGTGATGACTTCATTGACTTCACGTGAGTTGAAGGAAGAATGCAAGTGTCAACCTGTAAAAACACAAAGCGGCGTTTGTGAATGTGATGTTTGGATAGGACGGCCTGACCGGCAGCGCCTGGGGTGACTGGGCCAACTACACCGCCTCGCCTTTGCGAGCGTTCGAGAGCGAACTGGGAGTGCAGGCGCCAGCTGCCCAAGGATCCTTTAGCCCTTGCCAAACAGCTTCAGCCCAGTGCTTGCGCTGTAGGTGAGAGCCTGGGTTTCCCGTTGTTCGCTTGAATCCCAACATCCTGAACCCGAGCCCGCCCCGAACGAAATCCCTCAGCCCCGGACTCTACCAAACTCTAGAGCCGTCTGAGTTCGAAACAAGTGCTTGAAAGTTGGGCTCCTCAAACCCCGCGTGCCCCCTAGTAACCTGTACCCCTAAAACCTAAATTTAACAAACCCAATCGAACCCAATCTCAACTTCATAGGCGCCGCTTGGTTTCTTCGACCCCTTCGGCCTCACGAAGGCACAGCAGATAGAGGGTTGGTTAAGTGTGGGGCGAAAGCCAAGGGCACGAAGAAGGGGGATTCAAGCGAAAACGCAACGGAATCCAAGGAAGTTCCAACAAACTCAGAAGCCCCTGCAACCCGAAGCCCTAAAACCCTAAACCCTAAACCCTAAACCCTTGGAAAATATGTTCTGGGGTTTTTTCAGGGTCATCCTGCAATCCTACACAGGTCCTTGCAAGGGGTTTGGGGTTAGGGGTTTAGAGGTTTTTCTACCCTCTTAGTAGTATAGGGTCTATGATCCCACTTTTTTGTGGGTTCCAGTCTTTATACATCTCTGGACGGTTTTGAGTGTCACAGCTTCAAGGCTTCAAACCCTAAACCCTAAACCCTAAACCCTAACCTTAAACCCTAAACCCTAAACCCTAAACCCTAAACCCGTGAACTTAAGTGTGGATGTCGAGGCTCATGAAAGTTGAGCGTGGAGGTCTGAAAAAACACAAGCCCGATTCTAGCTTCGTCATCGCCTAAGCTGCACAACGCCTTGGGCGAAGCCTACCAGGATGGGCGATTAGACCTGAGAACCCCGTAAAAACAGGGCCTTTTTTATGGGGCTGTTTGTGGGGGTTCTAGGGTTTATCGGGCTGTTTATGGGGTCTAGAGGGCTGTTTATATGGGGGTTCTAGGGTAGTAGCACATCCTGGTGTAAGCCTTCAGTGCCAGGATGGTGATGTGGAGGCCTTCAAGCGCCGCCGTGCGACGGAGCCACGGGCGGGCTTGAGTAGCATGCTGGTTCAATCTCGGCGCTGTTTGCGCTGCGGAGGGCTTTAGAAAATTGACAACAAGCTTTGATAGTCTGAGTGCGTCTGTTTAAGAGATGTTGCTCTCGACCGTTTGGTGCTTCTCTGGGCCCCGGGGCGTCGACGTTCTTAAGGGCACGAGGGCCCCCACAAAGACCACGAGGGCCACCAGGGCTTTGCGCTTTTGGGGGGCTCACGGATTGAAAAGCAGATAACCAGTAACTATGTGATTTTCCAGTTGCGAGCCACATAAGGTGGGCCCCAAGAATTTGCCTTGGCTCCCATGGCAACGTTATCGTGTTCAGGGTTGGCAGGCCAAGGCGCGCAGGAGTTGAGAAAATCATGTTCCCTCGACATGTCTTTTCGTCTGCTGGTCTTGGGGGCTGTAGTTTCTTCTTCATTCCCTGCGAGGTTCGGATTTGAAACGAAGGAGTCTCTGCTTGAAAAGTCCCCCCGATTTCCAGGAGCTCAAGAACGGGCGCGTGGCGATGCTGGCAACCATGGGTTTTCTGGCAGCAACGTCCCCAAATCATGCACACACGCTTGTGTTGAAGGAAGCAGTTCCTTTGCTGCTCAACCTGGCTAAACGTTAGCTTCAGCAGTAGTCCTTCGAGTTCAGTCCTTCACTTTCTGATGTGCCCGAGATCTGCTTTGGGTGGTTTCGGGGTTGGGGTTGTGGTGTTCATAACCGTCGCACAAGCTTTGGAGAGGATCATGCTTACACGCCGTATGACCTGAATTGAAGTCTCATGCATAGGAGACGCGCCTGCATCCCCCCAAGTTCCTTTACCCAACCGGTACGGCCCTAACTAGTCCACGACCTACCTGATCCGTTGCTGGCTCCATCGACTCACTGTTTAGCTGGATCAAGACCGGCCTCTAAGGCCAAACAGGATGTGTGCCCGTAACAACAAAACCTTCGACACTTCACCGCAAACAATGGAAGCCTGTCTTTGCTCCCTCACTTATTTGAATTCACGTGTTGTTCATAAATACAATGCCCATGTAACTTTCCCGTAAACTCAATCAGTGCCAGAAGCCTGTTCAGAACACTTTGAATCTGAATCGTGTGCAGATACCTGAGACAACCGGAAGCTTCAAATCTGTAAAGCCATATGGTGTAAGACCGTTTGCATGGTTGAGCAGTTGCCAGCAATGCATCAATCTTCCCAGCAGGCTACATTACCCCGGAGTACTTCCGCTTCCCAGGACAACTGTTGAATTGACCTGCGAGCTCGTAGTTTGTAGTGTAGGATGTCCATTGCAAGGTAGATACGAGTAGTGGGATAGTATAGCCCGGTTCACATCTAACAGAGAAGACCCCTCGTTACAAGCGCTCGAAGTGGTTGAAGGCGTCATCGCAAGTTTGTTTGCTGGTGCTTCTTGGGAAGTGGAGGAATGCTTCTCTGGGCCACTTCATCGGTTGACCCATGGAAGGTTTCTCTGCTATCCCTAAAGCCTAAACCCTAAACCCTATATATATATATATATGTGACCATTGCATCCTGAAGCTGTCTCGCTTTCCTCATGAACCGGAACCCCCCCCCCCCCCCCAACATGTTGCAAAGAAGTCTTGAGGCGGGTGCATCGCTGTCAACAGATTTCTACTAGCACTTGAAGACCTATAAGACCCTCACGCCCTACCGAAGCAGCCTCGAAACTCCCCAGAACCCTCGAACTCCGTCAGATGACCTGGCATACCCGTGGGATACTCCGACTGGATACTCCGTAGGATACTGCGCGCCCTCCGCCGGCCTGAAGTTCACGGATGTCCCGAACGGGCTGGCGGCACTGAGCAAGGCTCCAGAAAGGGGGCGGGGGCTTTGAGGGTTTGCTTGCAGGTTCCGGGTACATGTGGAGGCTTTCAGACTGAGGTGTACATAGCATCCGATCGAGAAAAGCCGATGAATCCAGAAGTCAAATCAACACCATGTTGACAAGAACCGGTCTCAGCTGCAAGATCTCAACGTGCGTGCCTACGGAGCCTCTTCAAGTAGGTGTTAGGTGGGTCTCTAAACGGTGATGTCGCGACTCTCCTCCTCCGAGCACCTAACCCGAGCCTCTCTTTGCCCTCCCCCGTCGACTGCCTTCGTCCTTGTGATGTAGTGATGCGCAGCAGTGTTGCAAGAAGGGCATGGGGAGTGTTGAGGGCGTGACGACGACAACACGTGGGTAGCATGAAGCACCTAGACACATGATGCAAGCAGCTACCGGGCAGCACTTCCAACGCAACGACAGCAACACTTTGCTTACAAGGCGCCCCACCACTGTAATACACGAGTAGATGTTTGGTAGCATTTCCCACAAACACGACAGCATCATCATCGAACACTTCATTAGCTCATTATCTGCTGTGCTTGTGGTCTCTGAGCTTTGTGCTACACCCGCCACCAAGGCCCATGCTCTCAATAAGTGTGCACGTGTCCATCTGCATGCGGCGACAGGTCCCAGGCGCGGGCTGGACCCAGATTTTCCTTTTCCTGGGCCTTGTGGAAAAGGGCCTCTACACCTACGATCCTACTCGCCAGGCAGGCGCATCTCGTCTGACAGGCTTGTGAATGGTTGTTGCTTTGTTTCCAAATGATGCTAATCCTTGCTTTGACAATACGATCGCTTGTATGCGTGTTTTGTTCACTTAGTCCGTTCCTTGTCACTGCTCCCGAATCACAACCTCAGCCGCAAGCCAGCTTCAGAGCCCCAACAAGTGTGCAGAATTGCGAATGCTGGACTGCGACGAGTGCCGACACCTTGAGAAAGAGTCAGCTTCATGTCAAAGCCCAAGCCCTTCGTTTTGACTAAGGACTACAAGAACGCGGGCGTCCTGGGCGTGCCGAACGGTAGCACCATGGCTCCTGGTGACGGCCGGGCGGGGGCGGGGGCTGTCCGGCCACATCTAGGACAGAGTGTCAAGGCTACCGACGCTTTTCATGAGTGCAGACCCACTGGGACCTCCAGCCTACCTTCAAAAGTTACCAGTATGTACAGTTGGTACGATGCCAAGCGAAGAGCTCCGGTTCGGAACAACGATGGTGGGTGGTGTGGCACGTGGTGCGTGGCGCAGTTTGGGTGGCAGTGGATGGTAGGCAGTTGCGGGCGTGCAAGGTGCCATATCAGGTAGTGTGAAGCGGCGTGAAGTGGGATGAGGTGAGATCTGGGTGGGGACATATCGAGGTCCACAACGGGAGCAAAGGCGTTGCGAAGCTTGCGTCCAAGGAAGTGCGGAGAAGTACTTTTCCTAATCCCAGCGGACGTGGAATAAACAACCATGTGGGGTTTACTTACGCTGTTCGCCTCTATTGGCTCTGTCTCCTTGGGTAGAGGAGGCCCACAGCCTTAGAATTCTAATGTGGTCGAGACTATGGAGCTTGAAAAGTTTGCCACTCCCTGAGTAAGTTCTCGAGCTACAGTAGTTCTACGTGCCTGCGTCTTTGCGTGGCAACGGTGCAGCGGTGCTGACCCTCAACTTGTTGTCATTGTTTTGGTCTGGATGTAAATGGGACAGCGTTTCCATTTGCTGTTTGTGCGAGTCCAAAAGGCTGGAGCAAGATTTCCTGGTCTGTGCAACTGCGGGGCCAGTCTTTTCGGTGGCAAACCTGAAGATGCAGAAACTGGCAAACGGGGAGGGGAGGGGGGGGGGGGTTACTGCCTGCATGCCTGCATAAATCCATGTAACATGTATTATACACGTGTTGTGTAAGTTTTTATGTTATGTATATATGTAAGTATGTATGTATTCACATACGTGCGACACATGTATGTGTATGCCTAAGGCTCAGGTATCGGGTCCTTCCCGAAACACCTTCAGTGCGTGCGTGTCGGAACTCTCTAGACTAGCTCAGGGTGACGAAGGCAAAGGGTCAACCCGAAATTGCCAGCAGACCTGTCTATGGCCTTTGAGACGTGTATGGGACTTGCCGCAAGTGTATGCAATCATGGGTAGATGGCCATTGTCCAAAGAAACCTCCGATGGAAGATTGGGAGTATAGATTGACGGTCTGACAGGTTCGTGTTGCAACGGGCCTGTAGGGCCTTAATGCCTATGGCTATACCCTAAACCCTAAACCCTAATCCCTAAACCCTAAACCCTAAACCCTAAACCCCAAAAACCCTCTGCCATAGTCCACGCCCAGTCATCTGATCAACTTGCTCCAACTTGGGGAGGTCGCAACCGCAAGCTGAACTCAGAGTTGGCTAACGGCAGGCTGGCCATGATGGCCCCTTGGCAGGAAGACCCAAGAAGCCCAAAAAACACTTCTAGTAGTTTAGGGTTTAGGGTTTAGGGTTTAGGGTTTAGGGTTTAGGGTTTAGGGTTTAGGGTTTAGGGTTTAGGGTTTAGGGTTTAGGGTTTAGGGTTTAGGGTTTAGGGTTTAGGGTTTAGGGTTTAGTAGTAGTAGTAGTAGTAGTAGTAGTAGTAGTAGTAGTAGTAGTAGTAGTAGTAGTAGTAGTAGTAGTAGTAGTAGTAGTAGTAGTAGTAGTAGTAGTAGTAGTAGTAGTAGTAGTAGTAGTGGAGTAGTAGTAGTAGTAGTAGTAGTAGTAGTAGTAGTAGTAGTAGTAGTAGTAGTAGTAGTAGTAGTAGTAGTAGTAGTAGTAGTAGTAGTAGAAGTAAGCCCAAGGAGCCTAGATTCGGAGCCGGCCATGAGAAATGAGTGGAGGTGAGATGAGCACGGTGACGGTAGTGTGCCTAGGTTAGTATGATGGTACTTCTTTGTTCAGCTTTGGATGGCAACGACACTGTTGTGCTCACACACTCACACAGCAACAACCGCTGGTACCTGTTTCAGAACCATTGACATGCCGAGGCCATCATCGGCATGTTCTTCCAGGCTCCGTGGCCGGCTTGTGACACGTGTTTGCAGCGTTGCTGTGCATGGGTCGTGTGTCAACCAGAGGCATCTGACCATCCAAAACCCTCTGAGTTCGCAACATGTCATCGAACCCTGAAGATTTCGGGACTTTTGTTCAACCTCCCCTTGATTTGTGGCGGGTTGCAGGAGCCCGCTGTTTTTGTTTTTTTCCCGCGTGTTTTGGGCTTTTGCTGGGGGTCTAGTTGAGTTCCGAGACTTGTTTTTTTCTTGCGAGGGGCGGGCTTAGAACTGAGCCCCTATGAACCGTTGGGACTGTGCAGTTCAAGATTCGTTCGGAAGACCTCCCTGCAATCTTGGGTCTTGGACGCATGAGCTTTTGCGCCGGCCCATTCATCGGAAAAACGCATGATGACAACATCTGGGTAATGGGCGACACAAGGTTGGGATGGAGCCACATGAAAGAAACAGGAACGAAGAACCCAACAACCGATAGGAGAAAATATTAAATGAGCCAACAATGTGGATAACTGGGCGGGGGGTGGGGGTGCTCTGTTTTCTTCTTTTGCATGCCATACTCGGCGGGGGCATTGCGTTGTACCTCGTTGCTTTGTGCCATGCCACGCCACGCATGGGCTGGAGATTTTACAGGATGGCCTCACCGGCAGCGCCTGGGGCGACTGGGCGGCGTACACCGATGCTGTGGCTGCAGTGTTTGGCTGTGTCTCTGAGAGCTTAGCATTTTTTGGTTGAGGAGTGGTAAAAATAGTTCCAGTCCAAAAAACGGAAGAGTTGGTACCATCCGGGTCTCTGGTCGGGGGGACCACCCAGAACTTCCCGGCAGAGCTTGCAGTATGATGCGCAAGTTGATTCGATAGCATGCGCCCTTCACGCGATGCCCCCACCACGTTGGTTGAAGGTTTGCGGTTGGGTTGGCTTCAGGTTTAGGTTTCGGGTTCAGGGAGGGGGTCTTCCTGAAATGGCACTTCTGCCAAGGATTCTCCGCTGCGCGCCTTCGAGAATGAGCTTGGTGTGCAGGCGCACCTAGGGTACCCGCCATATCCGTACTACCCGGTGTGGAGGAAAGAGCAGCATAGTGCTGAATGGAATACTAGGCATGCCTGACGCTTGCACAGGTTTCCTCCAAGGCATTGGGAAACCTAGGAGGGGGCGGATCAATCTCGACCTGCAGCCCTCGTCTCCTTCCGTGTGTGCTTTAGGGTTTCAGGGCTTCTTAGGGGGGTATCGAGTGTTGGTGCGCGAGGCTTCCTAAAGCAGGCCAAGTTTGGTCATCCGCCCCGTCCGTCAACCCGCACTCAAATATTGAACTCTGCGTGGTGTCCAACTAAAGGGATTTGACCGTTTGAGAACGCCAGGGTTTGAGCTTTCCACTGACTCACTACAGTGGCCGCGAGCAAGGGCACAACCGGGCCAGCAAATATGCCAAGCATTCTACAGCCAACCCTTTCGATGGGCTTCGGCTCTGGGATTGAAGGTGCCAGTCTTGGCAGCGGGGCCTGCTCATTGCGGGGTCCCCGCAGGACATAGCAGGACACCCCGGCTTCTTAGCTGTCATTGGGACTGTGAGGGCGCTGCCCACTCATGCCCACTCGGTTATATAATTCCTCGTCGAGATGCACGAGAGGGCCTTTTGCCAAATCACAAACACGATGCAAAGGGCTTGCGTGCTGGCCGATTCCATGCGCTGTGGTCTCAATTTTCTCAACCCATCGTTTGATTAGCGCGAGCAATGGTTCTGGTAGGTATCCGGAAGCGCCTCCGACGCCTGCCAAGGTAAACGACGTCTGAAACGGAAGTTTGATACTCCAAGCCCCTCCTTCATTCCGATGCAAGCCTAGTACACAGCTCGGGCGTCTCGATTTTTGGAACCGTCGGTTTGCGCGTAAATCCAGTGCTGACAAGAACTCAATAGCAGTCTTGCTGAGCAGGCACCTGTGGGTTATTTCGACCCTATGGGCATGTCCAAAGATGGCGACGAGAAGACGTCCCCGGCTCAAGCTGACGCACCGCGTGTTTTTCGAGGTTTGGGTCCTTGCAGAGGGTTAGAGTTTTTGTGTGCGCTGGCCCAGAATTCTTGACCACTGTACCGTGCAAGCAGTACTGAGTTACGCCAGGGTCCACGAACTCATTCAACCTGAGTCGTCCGTAGCATCCTAAACCGATTCTACCTCCATGCTCCGCACCGAAGCCTGAAAGGAACCACCTTCCCCCTGGTTTCAACAGTCCTAAAGAAAGCCCTGAGCCTTGAGTGTCCAATCTTAAGACATCCGGGGGTTGAAGTTTCCATGATCCGCCGTCCGAGTGGTTGGATGAAGAGTTGTCCTTTCGAAGTGTCTGCTCAGTTGAGGACAGGCACAGCCGTGGTCAGATTGCTGCACCGTTGTTGGAACTATCCCTTATGCGGAAACGTCTTTGGGTCAGTGTCGGGGTCATCTGCGGAACACATATGACGCTTATGCGAAGCCGCGCGTCCCCTCACTTACCAGGTTCCGCCGCCGCCGGGAGAGTGAGATCAAGTCACTCGGAGGATGTTGAGAATCTTCAAGTCAGGATATTAAGGTGCAGAAGGTGCCATTAAGCGTGCATTAACGCAATTGAAACGGTGTATTGGGTTAGAGCACGTGCCTTTTTTTTTTTTTTTACGTTTTCTGTTGGGTTGATACTTGAGATATGCTGAGTTTCAGCAGCTCATGGCTGCAACAGTGAGACTGCCTCGCAGCTAAGCAGGCGGTACTCAATTGTTCGGCCAAAAGAGGGTGGCTCTTGGCATAATGACTGCCAGGAAATTTATTGACCCTTTTGATTGCCGTTCAGCGTTCAAGAATACTCCTGCAACACGCTCCTCTGTTTTTTGTTTCAAATTCGCCTCTTCATCTCTTCAACCATTTCCTTTATGTTATGTTTATGGCGACTGGGAGTTCTCCGGCCCCCTGGGTTCACGTACTTCACAGCCTCGAATGAAGTGCGAGTCAATCTTGCTCGGAAACGTGGTACTTGACCTTCCAACACGGTTCATGGCCTTTTTGGAGGAGTGAGGCCAGTCCAAGAATTTCGTGTCATGGGTGCCAGGGGGCTAAATCCTAAAGCAAAGAGAGCGCTCAATCCAAGGAATGGGCGAGTGGCCATGTTTGCAGCCATGGGGTGCAGGGAGCTTAGGAATGGGCCGATGTAGGGAAGATGCCTGGGATGTATGGGACTTCGGGCCCGTCACGCGTTCGAGACTGTGACGTTGGGTTGGTATGGGGTCCTGCCTTGGGCTAAGACTTTGGGTTTCGCAGGCCCAGGATTTGAGCTTGGGTCCGCGGGGTGGCGTTTCGGGCCGGTAAGCTCTGGACTCCCAAAGCACTGCAAGCTGAATCCGTCCCCCAAGCACAAGCACTGAATTGCACCTGACCCGGGCCTGACGAAACTTGCATCTTGGCGATGGCAGCTGCTGCCGCGATGACCATCGTTTTAAGCTTGGGGCATCTGCGGCTATCAGGTTTCAGGTTTCATATATTTGGGGTGTAGTCCGGTTGACATTGTCAGGCTGAGGGTTCCTTCCTTCATTTCCTCTAGGCGCGGCTCTTTCGCTTGTCCCGACATCTTTTGGTCTGTAAATGGACTCGACACAAGACCCGCTGGGACATGGCTGTGCATGTGCATACGCGCACTGAACCTATTCAGGCAGCTATTGTGATGGATCTGCTTATGTTCCATCCGGTCACGCTGTGTTATTGGTGCTTCTAGAAGGCACGAATCCTTTCAGCAATGGCAGCAGTGGCACGAATCCACGCGCATTCAAAGCCAAGCAAGCAAGCTGCGCCGAGTCATTACGCCGGAGTACTTCCGCTTCCCCGGCTATCTGTCGCGCCAGCCCCAGAAAAGATCTGCAGAATCTTTCAGGTCCCTTCAGATCCAGAATGGTGTCGAATGTTCTTGAAGATGACCAGCGACCGCTTTCCTGGCCCAGGTTGTGGCATTCGGGGGTTACCCTAAACCCTAAACCCTAAACCCCAAACCCTAAACCCTAAACCCTAAACCCCAAACCCTAAACCCTAAACGTCTGTGCCCAAGGCCATCCAAGGAGCTGAAGTTCTCGGACGTCCCCAATGGCCTTGCGGCTCTCTCCAAGGCCCTTCCTTTAGGGTTTAGGGTTTAGGGTTTAGGGTTAGGGTTTAGGGTTTAGGGCTGCAAGGGGGGGCTAGGCTTGAGTTATATAGTTTGGGATGTTCCCCCTTGCACTATCATCCGCACAGCACGCGAAGACACACCAACATAGCAAAACAGCCACACAGTAAGCAAAGGCGCACCAGAAAGCACCCCAACGCATAGAGAAGCAGCGAAGGCATGCCAACAACCGCTTAGTAAGCGAAGACGCACCAATAAGCAAAGCAGCTGCACAGTAGGCGAAGCCGCATCAGTAAGCAAACAACCGCATATAGCAAGCGGCACCCGAAGATGCACAAACAACCCAAGCACACCAACAAGCAAAAACAACTGCATATGGCAAGCAAAGACGGCGCCAATAAGCACAACAACCCCATAGTAAGCGAAGACGCATCAATATGCAAAACAACCGCACGGTAAGCGAAGACTCCACCAAAACAACCGCACAGGAAGCAAAGACGTACCATAAGCAAAGCACAGTGGGCGAAGACGCGCCAAGAAGCAAAACTAGGGCGCATTTAGCGAGCGAAGACGGTGCTGGTGCTGGTGGTGGTGGTGGTGGTGGTGGTGGTGGTGGTGGCTGTGGTGGTGGTGGTGGTGGTGGTGGTGGTGGTGGTGGTGGTGGTGGTGGTGGTGGTGGTGGTGGGTGGTGGTGGTGGTGGTGGTGGTGGTGGGTGGTGGTGCTGTGGTGGCTTTGGTAGTGGTGTGTAATTCGTGGCGTGTCATGGCGCTGTGTGGCGCAGTATGGTGGTGTTAGTCTTTAGATGACTTTAGCGGTGGTGGTGACGTCCGCTGGAAGTCTGTGCGTGTGATCGCGTGTGTACGGGTCCCAAGCCTCGACTCAGCTATGGTCCACTCGTGGCACTCGTAGCAGGAAACCCTAAAACCCTAAAACCCTAAAACCCTAAAACCCTAAAACCCTAAAACCCTAAAACCCTAAAACCCTAAAACCCTAAAACCCTAAAACCCTAAAACCCTAAAACCCTAAACCTAAAACCCTAAAACCCTAAAACCCTAAAACCCTAAAAAACCCTAAAAAAAAGGTGCCCTTTTTGGGCTGGATCCAGATCCTTGTCTTCTGCGGCATGATCGACTTTGGACTCTACAGGTGAACAGCTTAGAGACTTTTTGGAGGGCCTCATGAGAGTTAATCCCTAAACCCTAAACCCTAAACCCTAAACCCTATGGTTTCTGTATGTTTCTGTCTGGCTGGGATTGCCGGTGGGGCTGAAGGTTCAAGGCTTTCTTGCCGTACTGGGCCTTTTGGTATGGAGCGGCTTGGGGACTTAAGTACCACTGCTAGGTTTAGGGTTTGGGGTTTAGGGTTAGGGTTTAGGGTTTAGGGTTAGTTTTGAAAACATGGGTCTAACGTTTTTGTGCAGGAAACCCCACAGATAGATTTTAGTTTTACGTGTCCCCCGCAACAACCACAGCAAAACACTCATACCCTCGGGTTGAGGCCCAAAGGGGATCAGGGGGAAGAGGTTCAGCAACATGGCAGGTGCACAAACTCCTGTTCGGAGTTTAATAAAGGTCGCCTGCTCCCCGCATGACAGCCTTGCATTCTTACCTGTAGAATATGCCTCATGTCAGACGTCAGATGAAACCAGGACGTAGCTTAGCACAACGAGCTTAAGGACTCAAAGCTGTTTTCGTTTTGCAAACCGAGTTCAGCCACAGCCAAACTCCCTGACTTGCCCTTAAGCAATCGCATGTTCACATGAAAACTCAGCTAAGTCGCTACCTTCTAAACCCTGACTCCACTGAATCTGGGAAAAACCACTCCACCCGTCCGGCACAGGGCTGATCCCTCCCGTGACCCTGGTGACTATGAGCGGGGGCAGCCCAGAGTACTTGTGGTGCTCAGACTTGACTCCCATTTCTACGCTTTATTAGGTCCCCTTAAAGACTTAGAATGGAGAGCATTCCCGGAAGGTTTGGATCTCGGAGTTGAGGATGCTGACTTGACATGTGCCAGTTTTGGGATGCGTTAATTGAAGAGAGGAGCTGTGGCCGGGCATCGTTCAGTCGGGCAGGGAACCTGCACCCGATGGTGCATGTGAAGGGCTCCGCACTTCAGTTGCGCGTGTTCGAGGTTGCAGTTGCGAGTGTTTGAGGTTGTAGTTTGGCGCTTCGAGCGGCTGAGTAGTTCGCACGTTTTGCGGACTTCGGGGGGGGGGGGGGGGTCTCCGAAAATAGGGGTATCCTTTGTGGGGGTTCCAAGAATAAGGGCTATAGTTTTTGTGGTATATAACTAGATAAGGGGTACCCCTATGTTGGGAAATGTGCAGGGTTTAGGCCTAGGGAGCCCGCCAGGAACGGCGGCATCCTGGGCGTGCCCAACGCCAGCGGACCCATGTCGGATGACGAGGGCCGAAAGAGGCCACTACAGCCAACTTTCCCGGAAGCCCTAAGCATCAAGGAACAAGGGTAAAAGTTTGGGATGTTCCCCCTAAAACTAACAGTCCTTAATAGGGATTCTAGTACCCCCTTATTATCGTCCCTGTCAAGGACTGTTAGGATAAGGGGGAACATCCCAGGCAACAGTCAAGGAGAGTGTTACAGGAACTGTATCGAGCAGGGCAGTGTGAGCAGCGGGCACGGCTGGGAGTGATTGCCCAGTGTATGCTGTATGGAGGTTTAGGGTTTGGGGTTTAGGGTTTGGGGTTTAGGTTTTCGGGTTTAGGTTTTCTGGTTTAGGGTTCAGGTCATGTCAGGTCATGTCAGCTTTCAACAGTAAAGAAGCGTCTCAGTGACACATGTGTACCATTTCTCGGTGATGAATCCGACCCGACCTTGAGGGACTTCTTACACCTTTCAGGCCGCAGATGTTCCTTGGATGTGTTTCGCTTGGTTTAGGGTTTAGGGTTTAGGGCTTAAGGTTAATTAGGGTCTGTTTAGCTATGTTCCACCATGTTCCACCTGCAGATTCAGTTCTGACTCTGTAAACTGCAAACACCCACCACGCAGCAAATGAACAAACCGCCGCCAAATCAACATGCAGTCGACCCACATGTTGGAGATCCGCAACTGTACCAACAATCCCCCTTAAGATGTTCCCCCTTATACTAACAGCCCTTGATGGGGATTATAATCGGGGGTACTATAATCCCTATTAAGGAGCTGTGAGTAGAAGGGGGAACATCCTAACCCGAAACCCTAAACCCTAAACCCTAAATCCTAAACCCTAAACCCTAAACCCTAAACCCTAAGCCCACCCATCAACGGCTTCGGGCTTCGCCAGGAAGTTGAACTCCGAGCTGGCAAACGGCCGCCTGGCCATGGCGGCCATCACCGGCATGCTCTTCCAAAACGGACAGTTTAGGGTTTAGGGTTTGGGGTTAGGGTTTAGGGTTTCGGGTTTGGGGTTTGGGGTTTAGGGTTTGGGGTTTAGGGTGTAGGGTCTACGGTTTAGGGTGTAGGGTTTAGGGTGTAGGGCAGTGGCTTCGGTGTTCAGGTGGAAGGTTTCTGCACTGCTTGTTGCCATGTCTTGAAGGAATTGGGGAGGGGGTTCGAAGTGCTTCCACAGGCGAGTTTTGAGCACTTTCCTTTCCCGGACCACGCGTCTCGGCGATGTTAAACAGCTATGCCCTATCACCTGAAAGTCGCTGTCGAAGCAGTGCAGGGCAGTCCACGCTGCAGAGAGTAGAATTTCGCCTTTGGAGTTTATCAAAGTGCCAGCGCACAAAGTCGTAGATTGTACCAGATTGCGCTCCTGCACGTGCCGTATGCCAGCACGCGTTTGACAAAAGGGGGCCATGCCATGACCCATGACCACGTGAGTTCTTGAAGCTCTATCTCTCTCTCTTTCTCTCTCTCTCTGCAGGAATCACGGGAACCACTGGCCCAGCCATGTGGGGATTTTGAGGCCCACCTTGCAGTCGTCTGAGTGGGAATGCAATAGTTCGGGCGAGCCGCTGTGCTGGTAGCATGGCCCATATAGAAGGTTGCTACTTCGCAGTATCCGTTGGAGGCATATCATTCGGGATGGGTTTGCTTGGTTTGGTGCCCTTTGCTTTTCCTAGAAAGCCTTCCGCGAAACAGGCTTTTGAACGATGTCGTGCTTTTGTACATGAGCCCACGGGCCCGGAGCTCAGCATTGTGAGTGGATCGATGATCATGGCTGGATTTCGAAATTTACTCGCAGCTGCAGTTTCAACCGCACTATACGCGCATACTCATAGTGTTAAAGGGTGTAAGCTTCTGAATGGTCAGAGTCTTCGTGCTAGAGAGGTCCACGCTTACAGGCTTTGTTGACGTGGATGTCTTGCACACACAGAAGCTTCACGCGCAAGCTCAAGCTGTGACGGCTTCCTTTGAGGTGTTAGATCTGCGCGGTGTTGACAGCCACAGTGCATCGGGGGGATCTGCTGGGGCTTTTGCTCAAGATTCGATACGTTGATTGTCTTACTGGTTTGCTTGTCCAAAGTTTACGACGTGTTGCTCCATGGATTTGGGATGGGTTGCGGTTCATGGGAAGCCAGGAGAGGAGACGGAGGAGAGTGGCATTCTGGGCATTCTGCAAGTGCAATCTTATGTAACAGCTGTCAGACAAGCTCCCCAAAGCGAGCTGTCAAGAATCCAAGCGCCATTTGCACATTCCCCTTCCTATGGGCCCCAGACCTCTAAAGCCTTTGAAGCCTACAACTCCGAAAGTTTGAAGCAACTTCTTATTATTATTGTTATTGTTATTAATATCAGTATTGTTATTAGTACTATTATTAGTATTATTATTTGTATTATTATTTGTATTTTTATTGGTATTACTATTTGTACTTTTATTAGTATTACAATAAATGTGTTTGTTAAGCTTGCAAGGCCTGGCGACTGAACCCCCGCTGCACGACCAGATCTTGGCACGCAGCTCCAAAAAGAGAGATGCCACGGCTCGGGGACGGTTTAGGGTTTGGGGTTTCGTGTTTAGGGCTTAGGGTTTGGGGTTTAGGGTTTGGGGTTTAGGGTTTAGGGTTTGGGGTTTAGGGTTTAGGGTTCAGGGTTCTTGCTGGGGCTCTCCCAGAAGTTAAAGTGTTTCGGGCCGGCAGTAGAGGCTTTGAAGTGGCTTTGGCGTGCATGTCCTCCCTCTCTCTCTCTCTCGTTCTCTCTCTCTCTCTCTATCTGTCTGTCTCTGTCTTTGTCTGTGTCTCTGTCTCTGTCTCTGTCTCTGTCTCTGTCTCTGTCTCTCTCTCTATCTCTATCTCTATCTCTATCTCTATCTCTATCGACTATCTCTGTCATCTCTATCGTCTCTATCATCTCTATCATCTCTATCATCTCTATCATCTCTATCATCTCTATCATCTCTATCATCTCTACCTCTATCTCTGTTTCTCCCTTTCTCTCCCTTTCTCTCTCTCTCTCCCTCGCTCTCTCTCGCTCCGTCTCTCTCTCTCTCTCTCTGCCTCTCTGTCTCTCTGTCTTCCAAGATTTCCTGGCCTTTAAATGGCCAAGATCGCACGCAGGCAAAGTAAAATCACGCACCCCCACAAATCAAGTGCGGTGGTGTGATTACTTGAGCTATCAATCTGCGCACATCTGGCACTCCCGACTGCCCATGCCTCTGCCTGAAGATGGGTCTTTGCATGTGCACACACGTGTCTTCAAGGATTGGTCATAGGGATGCAACCTTTCCACCACGGGTCTCAAGAGTTGATCATAGAGATGCAACTTTCCACCTGCATGGAGTTAGGAGCATGATCCCACTCCAAGCAGCCAGCAATGGACGGCTTGCTTCTCGCACAAGAAGATGGTAGCACAGGTTCCATCTCAAAAGTATTCACTGTAAACCCTAAACGCTTAGTTGGGGTTTCTGATACTCCTGGACGTCTACTAAAGATCCCAGAATATCAGGGATCGCTTGTAATGAGGACCCCAAGTAGCCTCTAATGTCAGAAAGCCCCCAATACCTCCCAGAACCCTAAGCTCTAAGCCATGTTCTGCCGCAAGCTACGAAAGCTGTTGCCCTTGGCTGCTGGCTGCTTCTGGGCCGGGGTGACCCAGCTGAGCGTTTCGGTAACCTTGGTAGCCCCGTGGTGCCCTTTTCCCTTTCTTGGGTTCAAGGTTCCCTTATACAGTAGCCAACCCCAAAAAGGGGGCGCCCTTTACTAAACTATGGCTACTGGGCTACCAAGTATCCGAACCAAGTTGTGGGATGCGAAGCCGAGAAGCCAGCGAGGCCGCCCCATTTTCCTTCCTCAGCTCCCAGGCGCGGTCGAGAGACTTCGGTTTGCTTTTGGGATGCTTTTTTCATGGTTGTGGTTTTGCGTTTTGGGACCTAGGGCTGACTTGGCACTTGACGTCTGGACGTCCTAACTCCTAAGCCCTGAAAACCCTAAACCCTGAAGCCCTGAAACCCTGAAGCCCTGAAACCCTGAAACCCTCAACCCTGAACCCCTAAACCCTGAAGCCCTAAAGCCCTGAAACCCTCAACCCTGAAGCCCTAAAGCCCTGAAACCCTCAACCCTGAAGCCCTAAAACCCTCAACCCTGAAACCCTGAAACCCTCAACCCTGAAGCCCTAAAGCCCTGAAACCCCTCTGAAGTCCTAAAGCCCTGAAACCCCTCTGAAACCCTAAAGCCCTGAAACCCCTCTGAAGCCCTAAAGCCCTGAAACCCCTCTGAAGCCCTAAAGCCCTGAAACCCCTCTGAAGTCCTAAAGCCCTGAGACCCCTCTGAAGTCCATGTTGGGTCCCTGCTGTCCTGGGCAGGCCGCACGCTCCCGGCAGTGCAGGAGCCGGAGCATGTGTTTGGAGTTATTCTTTTGGGAGCTTCCCCCTTGCACTACCAGTCCCCAATAGGGTTTAGGGTTTAGGGTACCCCCCCAATAGAATCCCCATATAAAGGACTGTTAGTATAAGGGGGAAACATCCCAAGTTATTCCTGAAAAACCCGACACAAAGTCCGAAAGCACCCTGTCAAGAAGCCGCGACAACCAGGCTTAGGATCCTCAGGGGTTTAGGGTTTAGGGCTTAGGGCTTAGGGTTTAGGGTTTAGGGTCCATGCACAGCGCTTGAAGGATCGCTTGCCATGCCAGCGACGGAGATGACAGCTGGGACCTCGAGAAGTTTGTCTTTGCCAAGGTTCTCAACTTTCAACAGCGAACATCGAGGTTTCAGGATCAGATCTAAGAGGCCGGACGCCCTGTAATTTCTACGGTAGCTTCTTCTATACCTCATCAATGAACGGTCTGGAAGGGGTTCGGGTTTAGGAGGAATGTCCGATGATGGTGTGTGATATGAGCTCTTTGGACCGCCAGACTGCGGATCCTCTAAGCCTTGAGCTTCCACGCCTCAAATGCCAAACAAAAAGCACACACACACACAGCACGGAAGAAGAAGGAACCACGAGGGAATCCACAAGCTCCGATTCTTCAACCCCAAACAACACACCGAGACACCGAAGTAAAAGAAACGTTGGCCGTGGTAATACCTTGAAACCTGTTCAACCTTTGCAGAAGAAAGGAGGCTTCCCTATTCGAATTTAGAGGACATCGCTTGAAAGAAATGTTCTCATAGTCAAGTATAGGGGTAGTAGGGACGAAGGAGAGGTCTCCTACTACAATATAAACCAGAGGAAGTTGAACAAACTGTAGAGGAACTTCGAACCTAGAGGAAGAGGAATTCAGAGGCTTCCGATTAAAGAAACTAAGAGAAAGTAGAGGTTGTCCTATTTTGCATAGACTTCACCTCCGCATCCCTGAGTCTCCGCACCGAGCAAACCCCAAGGCAAGCTCAGTCCCGCCAGCGACCCAGACACTTGCGAGTGATGCTTCCGGAGAGATGGGTATTTCCCCAAGAGAGGGGTACTGGACCCCTTTTAGACCCCAAATAGCCACATGAATCATTTTAAAGGGACCCCGCAAAGGGCACCTCTATTTTCGGAAGCCCCCAGATAATGCCTTTTCTGGGGGCATGGTAGTTCGTGTTTGCAGGATTTCCGCCGAGTGAAGACTGTCCGGGGGTCGTTACCAGTCACATTTTTGTTCAGGTTCGGGGTTGAGGTTGCTTTGAAGCTCAGCGTTTGGAGACCCTGGAAAGAACACGCATGGCGTCCACGTCTTCTTTGGCGCTGCGTTGCAGGATGTGCCGTGGTGGCAGCTGGAGGACCGAGGCTTTATAGGCTTTCTTCTCTGCTTTGCTTGCTTTGCATGTTGGGAACTGTAGAACCGTATACTGCCATCCTCAGCCTATAAGCAGCCCTGGACCCTGGTTCCCCAGAGAGAGGGCACCAGCAAGCATGAAGCCAGGACGAGGCAGAGCGTCTCATGGCTCCCCGGATGCCATTCCGGGTGGAGCAAGTCTCCCCTCCGCCGGCAGGGGCCTTACATACTGTTGGTTAGCAGGGCATGGGGGGAATTAGGGCCCTATTCTTACCCTTTAAGGGATTATATCCCCTACTAGCCAACAGTAAGCTTAGTGAGGAAGAACGAGTTGCACGATGGCTGGGAGCTTGTTGGGCATCCACACGTGCCAACACACGCCTTGCATGTGGAAGCCCAGGTGAAGAAGCTGGGCTATGCCTTGTTGGATGCCAGGCGAGCTTCGATGGTTGATCATCGGCAATGGTCACAAAGTGTCTTTGGGGAGGAAAGGGAAGGAAGGGGAGACAAGTACATGGGGGATGCGAGGAGTATGTCGGCTCACCTAAACTCTAAATAGCGGCTTCGCAAGCCGGACTTCTGTGTTTTTGTTTTCTTTGACGTGGTTCGTGTGGCATAGATCTACACCGTTTACGTTCCAACTCTCTGAGCCTGCAGAAGCCCCGATCTTCCAGTTCTTGGCAACGCTCCAACCGTCTGTTGGCCGTGATTGCCAAAGGACTGGGAGAGGCGATGTCATCAACATGAAGGGCGCGGCCACTTGGCTGGTTCTCTCCCCCTTCCCAAACTCTAAACAAAGTGCGGGTTGCTAGCCCGCACGCCTTCCAAACCCTTCCAACACAAGCCCTTGAACAAGTGCTGGTTGCTAGCCCGTATGCCTCTCTTAAACAAGTGCGGGTTGTTAGCCCGCGCTGCCAACACAAGCTCTTAAACATGTGTCGGTTGCTACTAGTAGCCCGCACGTCTTCCGAACCCTTCCAACACAACCTCTTAAACAAGCGCTAGCCCGCGCGCTTTCAAGCGCTTCCAACACGAGCTCTTCAACAAGAGCGGGTTGCTAGCCTTCCAACCCCCCTCCAACACAAGCTCTTAAGCAAGTGCGGGTTGCGAACTCGCACGCCTTCCAAAAATGAGGGTTGCTAGCCCGCACGCCTTCCAAACCCTTCCAACACACAAGCTCTTTAACAAGTGCGGGTTGCTAGCCCGCACGCCTTCCATACCCTCCCAACACAAGCTTTTAGACACGTGCGGGTTGCTAGCCCGCACACCTTCCAAACCCTTCCGACACAAGCTGCAACACAAGCTCTTAAGCAAGCGCGGGTTGCTAGCCCGCGCGCCTTCCAAACCCTTCCAACACAAGCTGCAACACAAAACAAGTGCGGGTTGCTAGCCCGCACGCCTTCCAAACCCTTCCAACACAAGCTCTTAAACAAGGTCACGCCGCTGTTAGCGGCCCTGGACCGTTGCGCGCGGAAATGTGGTTTTAACCCACGCAGGGCAGTGTTCGAGAAGAAAAAGGGGTTTTGTCGGCGGAAGTTATTTTTCAGGACTAGGAGTGATTCTAGGTGCTCAAAAGTACCACGCCTGCCAGTGTTTTCAGCATTTCGCAGTGCTTACCGTGGGGATGCGTTTTTGCGACGTTTGAGAGTTTTGGGGTTTTGTGATGTTTTGTGTTTTGTCACTGTTCAGGGTGGAACGAGGAAACTGCAATGTGGTCTTATCTTGAAAAGTGCCACGGCCGCCAGTGTTTTCAGCATTTCGCATGCTTTTTGGGGGGCTGGAGTGTTCAGGGTGCAACGGGCTTGCAGTGGTTCAAGTTTATAGGGCTTTAGGGTTGGCAGAGACGTTAAGCACGGAAAGCACGGTTTTCGTCGCGAAAGGCATGGACGCTTGTGACAGATTTTCTTGTTCCACATGCGTGTGCCGTATGTTGTACACAGAGGCTGTAAATACCAGTGTTTTGTGCATGGACGCAATACGAATGACGTTCTTATCCCCCCCCCCAACCCTCCCCACCCCAACAACACAACCGGAACAAGTCACCAAGCAGTGCCAAAACTAACGTTTTACCCAGGGCCGCTAACAACAGCGTGAGCTTAAACAAGTGGGCTTGCCAGCCCGTACGCCTTCCAAACCCTTCCAACACAAGCTCTTGAACCAGTGCGGGTTGCTAGCCCGGATGCCTGCCAAACCCTTCCAACACAAGCTCTTAAAAACGTGCGGGTTGCTAGCCCGCTCGCCTTCCAAACCCTTCCAACACAAGCTCTTCAACAAGTGCGGGTTGTTAGCCCGCACGCCTTCCAAACCCTTCTATCACAAGCTCTTAAACAAGTGCGGGTTGCTAGCCCGCACGCCTTCCATACCCTTCCAACACAAGCTCTTAAACAACGTGCGGGTTGCTAGCCCGCATGCTTCCATACCCTTCCAACACAAGCTCTTAAACACGTGCGGGTTGCTAGCCCGCACGCCTTTCCAAACCCTTCCAACACAAGCTGCAACGCAAGCTCTTAAGCAAGTGCGGGTTGCTAGCCTGCGCCCCTTCCAAACCCTTCCAACACAAGCTCTTAAACAAGTGGGCTTGCTAGCCCGCACGCCTTCCAAACCCTTCCAACACAAGCTCTTAAACACGTGCGGGTTGCTAGCCCGCACGCCTTCCAAACCCTTCCAACACAAGACAAGCTGCAACACAAGACAAGTGCGGGTTGCTAGCCCACACGCCTTCCAAACCCTTCCAACACAAGCTCTTCAACAAGTGCGGGTTGCTAGCCCGCACACCTTCCACACCCTTCCAACACAAGCTCAAACAAGTGCGGGTTGCTAGCCCGCACGCCTTCCAATCCCTTCCAACACAAAAACTCTTCAACAAGTGCGGGTTGCTAGCCCGCACGCCTTCCAAACCCTCCCAACACAAGCTCAACAAGTGCGGGTTGCTAGCCCGCACGCCTTCCAAACCCTTCCAACACAAGCTCTTCAAACAAGTGCGGGTTGCTAGCCCGCACGCCTTCCAAACCCTTCCAATACAAGCTCTTCAACAAGTGCCGGTTGCTAGCCCGCACGCTTTCCAAACCCTTCCAACACAAGCTCTTCAAACAAGTGCGGGTTGCTAGCCCGCACGCCTTCCACACCCTTCCGACACAAGCTCTTCAACAAGTGCCGGTTGCTAGCCCGCACGCCTTCCAAACCCTTCCAACACAAGCTCTTCAACAAGTGCGGGTTGCTAGCCCGCACGCCTTCCAAACCCTTACAAGACAAGCTGCAATACCAGACAAGTGCGGGTTGCTAGCCCACATGCCTTCCAAACCCTTCCAACACAAGCTCTTCAACAAGTGCGGGTTGCTAGCCCGCACGCCTTCCACACCCTTCCAACACAAGCTGCAACACAAAACAAGTACGGGCTGCTAGCCCGCACGCCTTCCAATCCCTTCCAACACAAACTCTTCAACAAGTGCGGGTTGCTAGCCCGCACGCCTTCCAAACCCTTCCAACACAAGCTCTTCAACAAGTGCGGGTTGCTAGCCCGCACGCCTTCCAAACCCTTCCAACACAAGCTCTTCAACAAGTGCGGGTTGCTAGCCCGCACGCCTTCCAAACCCTTCCAACACAAGCTCTTCAACAAGTGCGGGTTGCTAGCCCGCACGCCTTCCAAACCCTTCCAACGCAAGCTGCAACACACAACAAGTGCGGGTTGCTAGCCCGCACGCCTTCCAAACCCTTCCAACACAAGCTCTTCAACAAGTGCGGGTTGCTAGCCCACACGCCTGCCAAACCCTTCCAACTGCGGGTTGCCAGCCTGCACACCTTCCAAACTCTTCCAACAGAAGTTACAACACGAAACAGGCGCGGGGTGCTTGCCTTCCGGAGCATTCCAACGCAAGCTGCAACACAAAACAAGTGCGGGTTGCTAGCCCGCATGCCTTCCAAACCCTTCCAACACAAGCTCTTAGACAAGTGCGGGTTGCTAGCCCGCACGCCTTCCAAACCCTCCCAACACAAGCTCAACAAGTGCGGGTTGCTAGCCCGCACGCCTTCCAAACCCTTCCAACACAAGCTCTTCAACAAGTGCGGGTTGCTAGCCCGCACGCCTTCCAAACCCTTACAACACAAGCTGCAACACAAGACAAGTGCGGGTTGCTAGCCCGCACGCCTTCCAAACCCTTCCAACACAGGCTGCAACACACAACAAGTGCGGGTTGCTAGCCCGCACGTTTTCCAAACCCTTCCAACACAAGCTGCAACACAAAACAAGTGCGGGTTGCTAGCCCGCACGCCTTCCAAACCCTTCCAACACAAGCTGCAACACAAAACAAGTGCGGGTTGCTAGCCCGCACGCCTTCCAAACCCTTGCAACACAAGCTGCAACACAAAACAAGTGCAGGTTGCTAGCCCGCTCGCCTTCCAAACCCTTCCAACACAAGCTGCAACGCAAGACACGTGCTGGTTGCTGGCCCGCACGCCTTCCAAACCCTTGCAACGCAAGCTCTTCAACAAGTGCGGGTTGCTAGCCGCTAGCCCGCACACCTTCCAAACCCTTCCAACACAAGCTCTTCAACAAGTGCGGGTTGCTAGCCTGCACGCCTTCCAAATCCTTCCAACACAAGCTCTTCAACAAGTGCGGGTTGCTAGCCCGCACGCCTTCCAAACGCTTCCAACACAAGCTCTTTAACAAGTGCGGGTTTTTCAACAAGTGCGGGTTGCTAGCCTGCACGCCTTCCAAACCCTTCCAACAGAAGCTCTTCAACAAGTGCGGGTTGCTAGCCCGCACGCCTTCCAAACCCTTCCAAAACAAGCTCTTCAACAAGTGGGGGTTGCTAGCCCGCACGCCTTCCAAACCCTTCCAACACAAGCTCTTCAACAAGTGCGGGTTGCTAGCCCGCACGCCTTCCAAACCCTTCTAACACAAGCTCTTCAACAAGTGCGGGTTGCTAGCCCGCACGCCTTCCAAACCCTTCCAACACAAGCTCTTCAACAAGTGCGGGTTGCTAGCCCGCACGCCTTCCAAACCCTCCCAAAACAAGCTCTTCAGCAAGTGCGGGTTGCTAGCCCGCGCGCCTTCCAACACAAGCTCTTCAACAAGTGCGGGTTGCTGGCCCGCACGTCTTCCAAACCCTTCCAACACAAGCTCTTCAACAAGTGGGGGGTTGCCAGCCCGCACGTCTTCCAAACCCTGCCAACACAAGCTCTTCAACAAGTGCGGGTTGCTGGCCCGCACGCCTTTCAAACCCTCCCAACACAAGCTCTTCAACAAGTGCGGGTTGCTAGCCCGCACGCCTTCCAAACCCTTCCGACACAAGCTCTTCAACAAGTGCGGGTTGCTAGCCCGCACGCCTTCCAAAGCCTTCCAACACAAGCTCTTCAACAAGTGCGGGTTGCTGGCCCGCACGTCTTCCAAACCCTTCCAACACAAGCTCTTCCACAAGTGGGGGGTTGCCAGCCCGCACGTCTTCCAAACCCTGCCAACACAAGCTCTTCAACAAGTGCGGGTTGCTGGCCCGCACGCCTTTCAAACCCTCCCAACACAAGCTCTTCAACAAGTGCGGGTGGCTAGCCCGCACGCCTTCCAAACCCTTCCGACACAAGCTCTTCAACAAGTGTGGGTTGCTAGCCCGCACGCCTTCCAAAGCCTTCCAGCACAAGCTCTTCAACAAGTGCGGGTTGCTAGCCCGCACGCCTTCCAAAGCCTTCCAACACAAGCTCTTCAACAAGTGCGGGTTGCTAGCCCGCACGCCTTCCAAAGCCTTCCAACACAAGCTCTTCAACAAGTGCGGGTTGCTGGCCCGCACGTCTTCCAAACCCTTCCAACACAAGCTCTTCAACAAGTGGGGGGTTGCCAGCCCGCACGTCTTCCAAACCCTGCCAACACAAGCTCTTCAACAAGTGCGGGTTGCTAGCCCGCACGCCTTCCAAAGCCTTCCAACACAAGCTCTTCAACAAGTGCGGGTTGCTAGCCCGCACGCCTTCCAAAGCCTTCCAACACAAGCTCTTCAACAAGTGCGGGTTGCTAGCCCGCACGCCTTCCAAAGCCTTCCAACACAAGCTCTTCAACAAGTGCGGGTTGCTAGCCCGCACGCCTTCCAAATCCTTCCAACACAAGCTCTTCAACAAGTGCGGGTTGCTAGCCCGCACGCCTTCCAAAGCCTTCCAACACAAGCTCTTCAACAAGTGCGGGTTGCTAGCCCGCACGCCTTCCAAAGCCTTCCAACACAAGCTCTTCAACAAGTGCGGGTTGCTAGCCCGCACGCCTTCCAAAGCCTTCCAACACAAGCTCTTCAACAAGTGCGGGTTGCTAGCCCGCACGCCTTCCAAAGCCTTCCAACACAAGCTCTTCAACAAGTGCGGGTTGCTAGCCCGCACGCCTTCCAAATCCTTCCAACACAAGCTCTTCAACAAGTGCGGGTTGCTAGCCCGCACGCCTTCCAAAGCCTTCCAACACAAGCTCTTCAACAAGTGCGGGTTGCCAGCCCAAAACTACTGCCCAAAACCAAAGCCCAAGCCTTCACCTATATCCCCCTTGGGAATTACTTTTGTTTTTGTTCATATAAAGCCCAAGAAGATATTAACAAGGATATTTCCATTAAGGTTCTAAGGGGAGTATAGTCGCAGTGAGGAGAAGGATGACTACGTCGTGAGCAAGGCGCTGCTGTTTTTATCCATAGGTGGGACGGCCGCGGCCACGTGACTTCAGCGTTAGCCGGCATTCGCCCTGAAGGTGATTGGTAGTTCATCGTTTCCATGAGCTCACAAGCCGTAAGCTCCCCGAACTCCCAAATCCCGAAACACAAAACAACAAAAAAGTGTAAGCAGCTAAGCCATGACAAATGCGGCACCAAATCCCGAAATCCGATCCAGAATCACGAGAGCTCCCGGCGACTTGGCGTCTGCTCAGCCATTCAGTGCCTCAGGCCTCAACTGGCAAAACCCGACTTGTATCGTGCTCCGCACACCATGGCGGCACCTGTTGAGGATTTCGAGGCCGTGCACTCGGAGTCCGAGGAAGAGACGAAGATCGCTCCTCCGAGCTCCCGCGGCTGGATTAAAAAAGGCGGTGGCTCTGGGGCTCGGGCTCGTGGGGCTTCTGGGCCTGGCCGGCACGCAGAGCTTCGGGGTCTTCCCGGGCAAGTCTTCCCCGAGCCTGGACACAATGTCGAAAATGATGATTTACAAAGACGTTGTCAGTGGGGACGAGATGACATCAGACTCCTTCAAGAGCTCTGTGGAGTTCGACGGTGCCGCCCTGGAAGTGAAATCTAAATGGCTAACCGTCGAGGAGGCCACTGACGACGAGAGCCTCACCGGGGGAGCAAAGAAAGTTCTGGACATTGTGGATCATTTCCGTCTACAAGAGGTGGCAATGGACAAGAAGGGCTTCATGGCTTGGGCCAAGGGATACATGAAGAAACTAAAGGACATGCAGAAGATCAGTGGCAGCAAGCTCATGAAGGGCACCCAGGACTTTATCAAGTTCATCCTGCGCAAGTACGACGACGTCTCGGTATACGCGGGCGAAAGCTTCGACACCGAGGGTGGCCACGCCTTCGCCTACTGGGGAGAGCATGAGGAGACCCCCACTTTCTACTTCATCCTCCCCGGCCTGAAAGAGGAGAAAGTCTAAAGAACATCATCATCGCTTGCTGAATAGGCTGCAGTCGACTTGCCTGTTAGTGAGTCGCACCCTCTTTTCAAACTTGCCAATAGCGAACTGATTGCGTCGCAATGAAAACCCCGCTCCGCTTTGCCAGTGTTGTCTCGAATAGTACTTGCTATGTGGGGGTTTCCGAAATTTAGGGGTACCTTTTTGGGGTCCTTAATCTAAGGGAATCCTACTATGCGGGGGATCATGTTAGGGGTCCCCTATTTTCGTAAACCCCCATGTCTAAAGTTTGTCTGCGCAGGTGCGATTTCTATACGACCTCGTGGGAGGCAAGTATCGCATCAGGACGAAAGTTCTCGAGGCCCCCCCTGAGATTGGGCGCTTCCACGGTGCTTTTGTGGGCGAGTTTCGCAGAGTCTTTGGGAATTTTTGGTGGTGGGTGTTGCCACGAGTGCTCCTTTCGGGCTAGTTCCTCAGACTCAATTCTCGAACATCCCGAACCCCCGAAGCAGAAACCCAACACCGAGGTCCAGACCCCAAGGCGCTACAAGATTAACGAGAAGCTCGCGGGGTTGGCAACGGCCCTGGAGAGAGAGAGTTAGAGAGTTCGAGAGTTAGAGAGTTAGAGAGTTAGGGAGTTAGAGAGCTAGAGAGTTAGAGAGTTCGACCTTTGGTAAGACAACTTCAGGGCCTCCGTCGACCAGGGCTCACTGCAAGCCCTTTTCCACCTCCAACAATGAAAGAGGCCCACGCCGTGAGTAAGTTAAGACAGTTACGAGTTGAGATTATGGTTAGGTTTGTTAGGGGTTTGCTTGTGCAACAAAGGGGGCGGCGACATATCCTAGCCCCCTTGAGAAACCAAATGCCGAGGTGAACCGTGATGACGCCTCCTGATGTCGTGGACGGCGCACCACGTGAGTGTTGTAGCCGTGTTGTAGCCAATCTCATCCCTAGAGAGTCTTAGTCGACATGCACGAGTTCTGTGAGTGCCATTCGCTACGAGCCTTCCAGTGTGGACACCTGATTCACAAGCCACTGCTGAGCACACAGGCATGCGAGCCAGTTTTGTAGAACATCTTTCAAGAAACAGCGGTTCCTTCATCAGGGGTCCACAAGCGGCTAATTCAGCCGGCTGGCCCGAAACTAGGCGTGGCGTGCTCGGCATGCAAGCCGAAAGCTCAGCCAAGCTCACCCCAAGCTTAGTGTCCGGATTTTCGCTCATGTGAGGTAGCTTTCTAGATTGGGGCCCTGTCACAAATCCTGAACGACCCTTGCCATATGATTGCCATGCCATTGCCATGCTCAGTCCTTACACAAAGTGGGGCCCTGATCTGGACTACATTGGACCGACATGGCTCTGCTTGTTGCCACCTCCGGTCCCTCTTTACATCCCTCGCGGTGTGTGTAAAAAAAGTTTGGGGGATCGCAGGAAGGGGAGCTGCTGCTTACTGGACCGCATCGAGTTTGGGGCTTCAGGGGCTGCTGTAAGGTGTTTCAGACGTTTCAGAGTTTCGGGGCTTTCCTATGGCTCGTCCAACTCTTCTGGACAGCAGCAGAGTACCAACCCAAGAAACGAGCAGTCAAAAGCTCAGGTTTGAGAAGTTTGCCACTGGGCTAGTTCATTTCCCTGGGCCCTAAATGACCCTAATCTGGGAAATGGCTGAAGCTTTCAAAGTTCTGCCCCCCTCCTGGCCCCTAGAAGTCCCATCTGCACTGGGGTGTCATAGATAGTGGAGCTAGGCCATGCATGTGCGCACGTTCTCGCGCCCTATAGGCTACACGTCTCACTGCACCTTTCTTATAATTATAATTTATGGCTGTATTTTGACGGCTGGCTTCACGACACTGTGATGGCTATAGCTGATGTACAAGATGATGGACCCTGTACTGCTGGCTCTAGATGCGATTCAGGTTGAGGGCTCAGGGCTGTGCAGGTTCCAGGCAGCAAAGTACAGAACACCTTGACCTTCGCAAAGTACATAATGCCTGGCTTGGGGACTAAGTGTTTGGGATTGCCCCTGCGGTCATCTATACCCTTGGCCAACACCCTTCATAATATAAAGTTTTGCTGTTTGGACCTCTTTCGCCATCACGAATGGGACGTGCCCGTCATGGCTTCGCCAGACTCTAAACCGTAGCAAGGCCTTGCATGTGTGCATGTGTGTGTGTGTGTGTGTGAGCTGAGATGCATGCGGTTGCAGCTCGTGTGTGGCTTCCAGGATACTTGCGTCCTGAGGCTATGCAACCTGATGAAGCATGTCCTCGACCTCAAACTCTGCACGGCCGTAAACGGCATGTTGTGGGAAGCTCTTTATGCCGAAGTTCCAGGTCTTGATATCGCATAGTGTTGAGCAGGACAGCCCCTCAAGCTCCAAAAGCCCGAGTCCGCAAAGCCAGGTAACAGCATGGTCTGCACACCCTACTAGGCCACATGCCCAGCCCATCCCACCCCTAATCATATTCAACACAATTATCCTGGTACTATTAACACTACTAATGACTCAACATATCAATTTTATTTCTAATGCGTCCTAGACAGCTCTCCGTGCACCCTGCCCACCCCACCGACACCCTCATGGGCGGCTCCTCCTCCTCGCGCGCGGCACCGCCGCTGGACCTCCCGCAGCAGGAGGTGGAGCCAAGTTGACGAGAATTGAGGGGGGTTTTCGAAGATAGGGGTACCCTTCTTGGGGGTCCCTTCAAGGGGATTCTATTCCATTTGGGGAATAAACGGGGTACCCCTATTTTGGGAAATAACCATAATTGAGGAGGTCCGGGCATTGGACGTGCTCATGGGCTGTTTCAGGGGGTCCATTCCTCCTAAGCCCTAAAAGTTCAAGCCCTTCAAGATCAAAGCTTTAGCATACAAGAGCGACGTGGTAACAAGCATGGTTTGCTTCTACTTGTTGCCAGCACTGCTGGCGGGAAGAAACGGCTGTAACAAACGTGGGTTCCATTGGAGCCGAGCCCTGACACACCCTGAGGTGGTTTCCATCCACCCGTCGAACGCGGGCCTCAGGAATGACAGGCTGCGAATGTGGCAACGGGGCAGGTTCACCTGACGGCTGCTGCTGCTGCCACCACCACCACCACCACTCCTTCCTATCTACGATTTCTACTATTTCCACTACTTTGATATGTCTTACTGCTTCTTCTGCTTCTCCTACTTAAGCTAATTTTACTGCAGGTGCTTCTACTACTTCTACAGCTTCTACTGCTTCTACTACTTCTGCCTCTACTTCCGAGCTTTTGGTGGTGGTGCTGCTGCTTCTGCTACTTCTGTTGCGCGCATTAGTATTACTGAGGTGCCACATGTTTCTACTTGGTTAAACCTTGAGCCCTGCTAAGCCACACCACCACCCAAAAGAAACCTCGACTTGGGCAGGCACGGTATGGCGGCGGTTAACGCGGCTGCGCGGGTGGCACAGAAGTGCGAGACGGGGCAGGCAAGGGACATCTGCGCGCGGATTCAGGGCTTCGTGGCTTGAGCAGAAAGCAGAGCGAGGAATGTTGCAGTGCAATTGCGATTCGGGCGGACTCGTCCAACACTGGTCGCCCCTCTCTCGTTTCCGTGTTGTCTCTGCACTGCATAGGTTTCCCCCTTGTGCTCCTCTTCTCTTCTTTTGCTTGCAGACATTGAAGTGAACCTTCGATCCATCTGATTGTTAAATGCTACTCTTCGCCCGAGAGTGCGCAAAAATCTGTCTCTAACCTTCGATTCCCGCGGTTACCGCAGCCCCGATCCCGAACTCTTCAGCGAATGATTGTGGTGGCCGTGGGCCTCCATGTCCAATGGAAATAAGGCCGCGATGACAGGCTTGCCATGGCTTGCCATGGCTTGCCTTTTTCTGACCTTCGGAGCTCGAGTGTCACCCTCTATAGGCGCTGTAGACTTGAGTTTTGTTGCTACAAAATCCGTGCTAAGTCCAGTGAGAACACTTGATCGCTCCGGGTCGTTTCAAGGAAGCCCTTAAGGGCCCAAAGAGCCTCACAGAGGTCAAGGAAACGCGCCTCAGTAGCCAGAGCACCTGCGCAGGTGAAAGTGCAGATGGCCTGGCAACCTCATTCTTTTGACCTGCACAAGGCCGGGAGAGGAAGCCAGGGAAGGTTTTGGGGTTCCGGTTCCAGGATAGCGCGTCCATCGTCCCAAACACGAATGCAAAGCTCATGCAAAGAACGAATGCAAAAAGCTGCTGTGGCAGGGAGCCGGCCGGACCCTCTGGGAACTGCACGGAAGCTTCACGTCAGAGGCACACTGAGGGGCAGGGTCAGGTTAGAAGCTTACGGGAGCGTGGTGTATGCGCTGCATTGAGGACATCAAGTGAAGCATGGGTGGCAGCATTTGGCAGCCAGGCTGAGGCCGCAGGTCGCAGGTCCCTGTATATTTTTTCTATATTATAGTATGTTATAGTATATTAGTATATTATGCTATATGATAAAAGTATATTATACTATACTATATAGCATATTTTGCTATATTAGTAGCTCCGCCATCCTCTTGGCGAGCAATACGCAAAGAGCCGGGTCGTCCCGAAATTCGCTCAATGGAACCTGTCGAAGCAAAAGGAATCGTCCGCCAGGTGCCATGCACGCTGACGGTCTCATTCCACTGCAGAGAGAGGCACTTTTCTTTCCCGGGATCCTCCTCTGTAGCCCCAGGCATTTGATCGATCACAAAACGAGGTATTTCTTTAGTCGACCCGGTCCTTACCAGTCGATGTTGACAAGAAGTTTTGGAACCAAGTGCGACAAATACCCTTCCCGACATGACCAAAGTTCAAAGTTCACATGTTCTCATGATTGGCATTTTTCTAGCACCACAACAGCCTTGGCAAGAACCGCCATGGGTTTTCCGACAGTAGCAGGAGTCCTTCGGGGAGGCCTCTGTAGGGATTGGGCTTCACAGTTTTTTTTGATATGTTGATTTTGACAAGCCTTTGGGGAATTGGGGACGGTTGGGGCTGAGGGATTCAGGGTTATTGCTGCTTGAAAACGCAGTCTCGCCACTTACGTAGGGTTATGGGGGCGGGACTCTGCTTCTCGAGGCCACCCTAAGGCGCACCCTTTCAAGTCCAGAACCCACGTCCCCAGACCCCTGGGAGGATCGAAAAAGTAGAGCCCCCAAATCGGACCCTGTACTACTATTGGGTCATTCTTAAGGGGATCTACTTTTTTGGATCCTCCCAGGGGTCTGGGTCCTGTGTGTGGAGGAGCTCCCCTGATGGTGAGGCGGTGCTTTTGACCTACGAAGCGGCGGTGGCTCCGCCTGGGGGGGGGTTCATGATTGGGGCTTGGCCTGTGCCACCTAACCCTAAGCCCTAAACCCTAAGTTGAGGTTCTTGTCAGCACTTCGCAAATCACAATGAGATCGGGGAACGAGGTGAGGCAGTAGACGGACATGAAGGGTCACTTCCTAAACTCAAACAGCCCTTGCATGGGTCTTGAGGGCTTTTGGACGGCTCATAAGGTTTAGGGTTTAGGGCTTAGGTTGCAGGAACGCATAAGAACACCATGAGGCGTTCTCACACGCCGAGTTGGGTTTGTGGATCATTTGCTGTATTTTCAGCTGGATCTTCCACATCCACATACATGTCAGTCTTCATCCTCATAGAGCGAGTGGTTTATGCTATCAGTTGCATTCTTTCGTTTGCTTGAGGCATCTTCTTCAGATGGGCTGGGTTTTCAAGCCTTTCCTGCGGCAGTAGCGGTGCGTTTGTGCTTTCGGTCTTGTGTTTTTGAATGCCGCAAATACTCCCCACGAAGCATGCATTCTTGTTGTGTAGAGTTTCGTTTCTGCTGCCTCGCTATCATGTGCTCATGTCACGGCGTTCCCGAGCTTGACTTGCCACTTCTGGACAAGTTCGTTCAAGTCTTGTTCTGGGCTTTGTGGTCGTTATTTGGTCAGGGGTCCGGAGAGCTTTAACGCATGCTAGCCGCCAGACTCTCAAGAATCCCGGGCCCTTGTGAGCGTGAGCACCTCCCAGTTTATATAGGGCTGGATCCCAAAGTCCTTGAGGTTCTAAACCCTAAACCCTAAAACCCTAAACCCTCAAGTTCTAGGATCTCGGGACAAAAGGGGGAACACGGCCTCTCGGAGGATACGAAAGCTCCGGCGCCCTGGAAGCAGGACTACCCTGCGGGTGCCTTGGCAACTTGTTGGGGGTTTCCGATATAAGGGGGGCACCTTCTTGGGGGTCCTTGTTATAAGGGAATCCTACTATTTGGGGGGTCTATATGCAGGGCCCCTTGTCTTCGTAAACCCCCCGTTGTCTGACAGAAGTCTCATTGCATTCTTAGGCCCTGCGCTGTAAGGCAAACATGACGTACGCCTGGATGGCGACCGGTCAATTGATGTCCAGCGGCATCCGCTGGAGGCACATCTCTGTGGGGAGTTGGAGTTTTAAACACAGGTAAGGCCAGTTAAGGATTCGGCACTTGGGTGTATGATCCGACGACCAGCGTATGAAGCGTCAAGGTTGAGGCTGGGCTCATGCCTGACATCTGCATCCTCGATGTCTGAGTTTCTTTTTTCGCCTCTTGAATCCCAAAGCCCGGACTTCCAAGAACAGAAAGCATCCCCCCCACCCCCACAGGTCTTTTGGAGGCTGAAGCGTCATCGCCCCGACGTGATTCCCATCGTCTTGGTCCTGGAGGCTGCAGGCGACGTGCTCGGAGCACCCAGTCTAACGTTTGCTGTAGGGGTGTGGGGTTGGGTCCAGGCCTTAGAATGTACGGTTAAGACTCACCTTGCGAACTCCAGGGACCAGGAAGCAAACATGAAAGCTTTCTGCAGTGCCCGCGAAGCGGCAGCCCCTACGGCCCGAATCGCCCCAACAGCCACCAGAGCCGAGATACAGAAGCTGGACACTGGACACGTTCAAGATAATTAGGCTGCAGCAGAGAGCACGATGGGTTTACATAGGGGGGCTAGGCTCTAAGGGCTACTCTCCAAGCGCCAGGCGTCCAGTCTGTTGTTCACCTGGCACTGGATGTCCAGAAGGTCCGAGATCAGGCCACGGGGTTCCTCCTCTGTGTGAGATGTTTTGGAGTTCGAAGCTTCCTTCAAGATGAAAGTTGTGGGCTGTCTCTGGAGGATCCTCCATGGGAGCTCAAGTAGGGGCATGACTCGGCATGATTTAGAGGGGGTTTGCCCCCAGCAGTGAACATCGGCATCAGAACGCTTTCACTGGCAAGCCCACCCCCCGGGGCCTATCACACACTATCCGCACCTAGGGGCCTCTCTAGAACAAATCGCAACCCACTGCCAGGCCACGCACCAAACGCTGCAGTGCCGACTCATCCGGCAGAAGGTGGTCATCAACCGACAGGAAAGATCAGCCCCACCATTGTACAAGACACTTGAAGGTTGAGGATTCTCTTGTCGAAAAAAGGATGTTAAGTTGGCGGGTCGTGGCTTTGGGGGTTTAGGGCTGCTTTATGAGGATTTTGGATTTGCAGCAAAATTCTTGGGTGTCAGGGCTTGAAGAGTGCTCCGAAGCCTTGCCGCGCTGTCCGAATGCTTTGCGGACCTACGGGTTTAGGGCTTGAGTCGCTTGAGGTTTACGGTTTGGGCGCCCATGCCTTGGCGCAGCCATGGCACTTGCAGAGTTTTCATAGCTTTCACAGCCCGAACTCGTCATGATAGTCATGAATCTCATGAATCTTGGTCGAGTTGGCTTGGTGCACTCTTGCTTTGCCGCCGGCTCAGATCAAGCTGCAGACATCTCTCTGCAGACCTCTCTCTGCAGACATCTGCCTTTGAGAAGCAGGCTCGGCCTTCGGGCCTTCGCATCAACCAAGAGGAAAGTTTGCATAGGTGACCGAAGCAGTGCAAGACATTGCCTAAATCCGAGCCGGAAGCACACAACTTACAGAACGGGCCGATGTGAACAGTGTCGCTTGCGTGTGGCATGGGCATGCATGGCATCCGGACTCAGATGCACGCAACAGACAACAAGATCACAAGACAAGTTTCTCGAGTTCCTTGCCATTGGGCAACCCTGGTTTAACCCCAAAAACAATGTTTCTTGGTTTTCCTAAACAAGGGCACTGTGGGAGTTTGTTTTTAAGAGGACCTGGGAACTAACACAGACCCAAAAGGTGCCACTTTGAAAGGGACCAGGGAGTGCGAGTTTCTGATGAAGGTTTCGTGTTTGCAAAAAGCCACAGTTTGCAGATTCCCGGACTATTTCCGTCAGTGTCAACGGTCAGACTTTGTTTGAATCAGCGTCCACGCCCTAAACCCTAAACCCTCAACCCTCAACCCTCAACCCTCAACCCTCAACCCTAAACCCTAAACCCTAAACCCTAAACCCTAAACCAGCTCAGATCGTGGGCTCTTGCACAGGTGTCAGGGATGGTCGGGGCGTCGGAGGAAGTCCTGCTCCGGGAGCTGGAGGACCTCGGCCATTGGGGTTCAGGGTTTAGGGTTTAGGGTTTAGGGTTTAGGGTTTAGGGTTTAGGGTTTAGGGTTTAGGTCATTGGGGGGTCTTGGGTTGAGGGATTTAGGGTGTCGGGTTGTCTGGGCAACACACATCGCACTGTCCGGAACCAAAACATGCGAGGATTCGTACTTCTTGCACCCAGGGCACGCGCGAATTTGTGGGGACACCGCAGCTGAAGACCTTCCATTCAGGCCAATGTTTAAGACAACCCTACCCCTCTGTGCTGACGAGTTTCCTGAGCCTTGACCTGACCCCAAGCCTTGGAGAATCAGGATGCCTTGAGCAAAGGGGATTCCGAAGCGACTCGGTTGAGCAAAGTGTTCATGTCAGTTTCTGTTGCACCTAACATGTAGAAAGATTAAGGTTCTAGACCCTGCAAAGAGGACAAAAACGACGATCAACACCATGACAAGCCGAAGGGACCCAGAGAAAACCATCGCAGCCTGTTGCAGGCCCAAGCATTTTCCATGAAACCTTCAGCGCCACTCCGGCCAAAGCATAGAGCCTCCAGCCCCCTCCCTACTACTGTAGGAGCCCACGCGTTTATTGTACTGACCAACGAACGCTAAAGGTTCCCTTCGGTGTTCACGTGCCTCTATGATCCTCGGCGAGGATGTGTGCGCCGCACTCCCTCTCTTCTCTTGGCCCCCCCCGCCAGAAAGAACCCAGCAACTGCGCGTTTGGGAGGGTTCGCCTCCTTCACTCTCCTGATGTCAAGGTCAGCAAAGCTCAGTACCATTTGCGCGCGCCGCGTTGGTGCCCCACGATGCCCCGCATGACTGCAAAATCTTTTTCCTGCTGAGTAGCTTGGGCGACTTCGAGAATCGGAGATCTTTGTTGTCCCTCTATGTAGAGATTTGACTGGATGACATTCGCTTACTCCATTCTTCTTGAGTTAAGGCGAGGTCGGCAGGACAATCGCATATTACGGAACCGGCATGTCAAGCCCAAGTGGACGCGAACCACCGCCCCCAGCACAAACACATTCAACCAGTAGTGCTGTCCCGCAACGTGTCGAGACTCTCAGGGGGTGCAATCTGCCTGCGCTGCATGGGCTCACCACCAGGAGGTGGGAACCGGGTACTGCAGTTGTATGGAGGCATGAGAGAACTGAGAATCGTCAAGCTTTTGGGGCGTTGAGGGTTTTAAGCCGTGGCTAAAGGGCCCGGTTTGGTGGAGAGGGCCTGGATCAGACGACCCTTAAGGAAAGTGTCGTCTTAAACCCCCAGCCCTTTTATGGAGCCCTCTGTCCATTGGATTAGTGGCATGGGAGTCCTGGGATTAGGCAGTTGCTCGCCCGCCCGCCCTTTGCAGTTTCAAGCTATTTGTTCTAGAAACTCAAACAAAGGTCCTGAAGCCAACTTGCGGAAGGGGGCTTTCAGGCATTGATTTGGAGTGGAGAGCTGGGCACAGCAGCTTGGAGGTTGCAGAACCCAACAAATCCACCGACACCAGCTGACGTAGCACTTCACGTAAACCCATAACTAAGCCCTAAACCCTATATGAACCCTAAACTGTAAGTTTCGCGTTTTTTTTTTTCAACATTGCAACTCTCCGCCTTCGTCGAGGCACAACTTCCTCAACGCCCTACTGAGGCCAAGACTTGGACGTACTTGGGATTGAGAGGGTCTAGGGTTCAGGCTTAGTTAGGGTTTAGGGTTTGGGGTTTATTGGGATGTTGCAACGGAATGTGCTGGGGTGTGCGTCGTCTTCGTGGACGCCCACATAGCCTGGCTTAGAAAATGGCCCAAAACTAGTCTAAGCTGGTTTTTAAGGTTGCTTTGGATCCCTAGAGATCTCGTGCTAGGAGGCCATGAGCATTGAACGAAGGTCTTCAGGGACGGACCTGTTGTGTTTGTTTTGCAAGGCTGCTGCGAGTCTGGAGGGGAGCATGCGAGGTCCTTGAGTTCATCAAAAATGAAATTGTCAAAGGTCGGTTTGTGTTTAAACAGCCATGAGAAGGGCTGGGCTCGTGATTCCCCCCCCCTAAATACCTCCGGCACGTAAGAGAAACCCCTCAGCGTGCAAGCTCAAATCCCTTCTGCAGCCTTAAGTCCGAATGCCCAAACCTCACCTCACTGAATCTCGTGGCAGACTTCTCAGCTGATGACTTTGGACGGCCTTCGACGGCTGATGGCTTTTGCGGCCTCCTGGACTTCAGGGGTTTAGGGGTTTAGGGGTTTAGGGATTTAGGGGTTTAGGGTTTAGGGGTTTAGGGTTGAATCGGGAGTTTTTGCTGCGTCTTCCTTGGGAGTTTTTGCTGGGGTTGTGTTGTGTTGTGTTGGGACGTGCCCAACGGTCCATAAAGTGCACAACGCCTTCAGCATGGGGGAGTGCAGTTTGGGGGGCACTTACCCTAAACCCTACGCCCTAAACCCTAAACCCTTAACCCTTAACCCTTATAAACCCTAAACCTTAAACTTGTAAGCAGTCCGAGGCCGAGGCTGCCAAGTCCAAGGACTTTGGGGCTTCCTACGTTCCTTGGCCGCCGCGAGGTTGTCTTCTCCTCCCTGCATTTTTGTCATGCTGTTGGGGTGTGACGGCTTGAGGTTGAGGTTTGGGGGTTCACGGTATGGAGTTGGGAGTTTTTCGGTACCTTCGAGGTCGCGACTCACCAAGTTCAAACTCGTTTTTGAGCAGAGGGCTTGGGGACGTAAGCCGAGCAGCAGACCCCTCCCCAGCCCGTAGCGACGTCTCGGATCCTCTTTTGGTCAACTCGGTCAACTCTCCTAAAGCCCGACTGTAAGCTTAGAGCCCTCTTAGGTTGGACATAGAGCAAGCCCAATGTTCTCCGTCTGCCCTGTACCGAGATTCTGTCAGCAACGATCTTGCATCTTTCTGGGCGTGTCTGGGCGAAGGAGGCCAAGGGACTTGGGTCACCCCATTGCTCAAGATACAAGTGGACGAAGTGGTGGTAGGATTTTACGTAGGATTGCGAGGACCGTCACCTGGGCGGCGGACCTCTGCAAGGTTTTGGTGGTCTTTTGGATAAGCATGCAAAGTTTGCTTGACTGTTTTTGCCGGGAGACGAAGTCGTCAAGGCTGAACAGTCACCTCGCCTGTACAAGACAAGGTCAGAAATCGAAGCTTTCCAGGCCATAAGTGAGGCAATGAACATGAATGAACCACGGGTAGGGAGGTAGGCAGCGAGGAACGGAGGGACCTGTCATGCAAGCCGAGCGCAACGACAGAGTTGGCCACGCAACTTTGGTATTGTAGGCCTTTTCACCCATACTTTTTGCTGAAGCTGAAGCCCACACTCTTGCCTTCCGCCCGGGCCGGAAAACCGACCCTCAACCCTAAACCCCAAACTCTAAACCCTTAACCCCATCCCTTAAACTAAGACCTCTCAACCCGAAGCCCAAGGCACTGAAACCGTCCCCTTGCCCCCCAGAGGCCATGACGATCATCCTCCAGAAGCTGCAGCAAGTCCTGGCCGACATGCTGAATGCGTTCCTGGCACAGGCAGTCCCGACGTCTCCCTCCCATTTTTTCCAGGGTTTAGGGTTTAGGGTTTAGGGTTTAGGGTTTAGGGTTTAGGGTTTAGGGTTTAGGGTTTAGGGTTTAGGAGCATCCCTTTTGAAGCCCGCCAAGAGTCAAACGCACGGAGCACCGAGACGCTCAGTGTTCGATGCTTTCTCAGACTGAATTCGAGCGAGGGCTAAACCCTAAGCCCTAAACCCTAAACCCTAAACCGTGTTTTTGGAGAGGGGGAGCAAGCCAGTCTTCATCGACAACTCCGAGCAAACTAACTTCCTGAACTCACACCGCGAGCCCCAAGCTCGTGTTTCTTGTCGGTGCTGCTTACAGCGTTGGTTTTCGTTGCTGCAAGAGGGAAGGCACGACAGCGGAGGACGGAGGACAGTACTAAGCAGGGAAGAGAAACATAGCGACACAGCGCGCTGAATAAGCAAAGGACGACAGGGAGCAGGCGCAAGAACAGAGATAACTTGTTTCTTGTTTTGGCAGAAAAGCAGAAACAAAGGGGGGGAACCAAACTAACCAAAGAAAGCAAGCATGACAGGAAGGAACAAACCAACGACTGGAAGAGCAGCCCAACAAGAAACATGCGACGCAACAAAAAGGCGAAACGCCACGAGCGAAGACCAGAGAAAGCGACGAAGAACAGACAGAGAGAATCAAAGACCACACGAATCAAAAACCACACAAACAAAAATGAAGCAACACTCATTGAAGGATTGAGGAACGAACAAAATGACACAATGACAAGTGAGGGTTGTTCAAAACCCCCCTTGTCTTCGAGTTATACTGGGGCGACCATCAGATGATGGAAATGAGGGTCCGCGAAAGTCCGCGATGGGCCCGCGAAAGACAAATCACGTTTTCGCGAAGTTTTGTGCTAGTACTGTTTGTACAGTAACTAATACGGGTGTAAAATAGGCTCCGCGAAAGTCCGCGATGGGCCCGCGAAAGACAAACAGCTTTTCGCGAAGAATGGTCGTTTTGCCATGAAGCAATTTCGAACAACCGTCAAGTAGATTAAGGACAGACGAAAGGCAGAAAGAAAGAGATAATAACAGGGAAGGCCCACAAAGGACGACTACTGCCCTTGCGCCTATTCTACTCTTAACGTTGTCATGAGAATGACTATTATTTATTAAGAATATCATGATCATGACGAGAACGTGATATGTGTTCTGGTTCTCCTTCATAGAACATTGCCATGATTGCACTCGTAGCTTATTTGAGCAGCTTTGCCTTGCTTACTGTTGTGATAGCGACCGCCATGACTACCGCTACTGCTTTTCCCGATGTTGTGTTTCTTGGTGTTATGACTGACCGTTATGGCTTGCATCGCTGTTATGACTTGCGCCGTCATTCCCATTTCGACTGACACTGCCGTTTGACTGCACTGTTGACTTGTCATTCAGGAGTTGAGGTGGCTTCAAGTAGAACCTTAGCTCAACCTGAACTCCTCAAGCCGTAAGGCCTTGAAACCGATCACCCCCTTAAGTCCTACCTCGATTTTGGCAACGCCATAGAATGAATCCCACAACCCAAACCCGAAGCCCTAGGAACCAAGAAACAAAAGCAATCGAAACGACCAACTCAATTACCCTAAGCCCTAAACCCTAAACCCTAAACTGTGCTCGATGTGCTCGCCAGGCCACCCGCGAGACCTCGGAGGTCACCGACAACGATATCATGCTGGGCGTTGTGGTGCAGTACCCTAGCAGCTGTTAAACCACAAGCGTTCAGAGAGTGGGACTGGGGGCTTCGGACCTAGATACGCCAAGGAATCTTTGTGCAGCTGCCATGCAGCTCCTCGAACCTCGTTGCGAAGTGCTTCAGAAGCATCCTTTCCTGGTTTTTAACAGTTCATAGTCCTAACTCTTCCTGTGTTCTTTGTTTTAGGAAAGCCGGCCCTGCCCCTCAGCTGCTGCTGTGCATGTGGCGGACTGCTTCATGCCGGGCCGCAATCCGGACCTCTTCCCGCTGCTTCTCTCGGCCGCTGCAGCTGCCCAAGAGTCGAAGGGCAAAAGCAGCCCAAAAGCTGTCGCAGCTCGACGTTATAAATACAATAAATGCAAATGAAATAAATAAATACGAATATAAGTATAAATATGGATGTAAATATAAATATATAAATACATATATATGTGTGTGCATTTCTATATATGTGTGCAGCTTCCTTCTTGGTTCTCTTTGTGCGAACGCTTTTTATTTTTGCTTCTAGTGGATGGGCTACGTCCGGTACGTCAGCTTCAGGATAGCGCAAAGCGACGGGGCCTGCTGCGCTTTGCCTGCCTCCGGACGAGCCGCGCAGCTGCGGAGCTCTTGGCCTGCGCGATGCAGGACGCCACGGATACTTGGCGGCGGGAAGATGTTTTCATGAGGCCCGAAGATGAGGATTTAGGTTTCCAGGCCATATTCAATCTGAGGCTTCATGCTGGGAGATTCAACCACGAGGCCCAAAGCATGCTCCAAAGGCCTAACCAAAGTGGCCCAAAAGCCGAGGATATGTGCAAGGAGTGCGGCGAAAGGGACATCCTGACTAGCGGCGCGGGAATGGAATTGGCAGATGCAGCTGGGGCGAAACTTATCTATGCCCGGGGTTGGAGCATGCTCCTGCTTTCATATGCGCCCCTCCCCCCCAGACGATCAAAGAACGACGCAACACAGCGCGTTTGACAACGACTGGCTCACAGTCGAACCACAACTTTGTCAACAAAGCCGGAAAACAATGAACACAGTTTCCACACCCATAGCGCGCGCTTTCCACACCACTACTTAGCATGCGCTCGGGAGAAAGTAGGTTGAGGTTCATGTGCCTGCAAAATTCTCGATTTCCAGGCCCGCAGAATTCTTGGAAGCGCTGCTGTGTAGCGCATCGTAGTCTACACTGACAGCCCCTCATTTGGCTCTGTAACAGAATCCCATACTAAACCACGAGCAAGTCTTATGTTCCCAACAATGATCGATTGCTTGAAGACTTCCAAGCATTTCTCTTCACCGCAGCTAGATTCATCACCATCATCGAGCCATGTTTGCTGCTGGTCTTGACGCTGTGTTTTGAAAGCCTCGGTCCTCTGCAATGCCGTAGTTTGCACAGACGAGCATGGCGGGAGCATCTATCTATCCAGCACTCAAAGAGGCTGTTCCTGTTTATGCTGAGCCCGAGTTTACTGGTTGGCGAAGACCATACGCCCGAACCGCGCAAGCAAGCGTCAGCCTTTGTAAAATGTCAAACAGGACGGGGAACTGCAAGCAGCTAGGAAAAATACAGCAAGTTGTCACGAGGTGCGTCAAGTCATGAAAAGTCGGAAATCTGAAGCTGTTGCCGCTCTTGCCTTCTCGGGGTTTTCAATTGGTCGAGGCCTGAAGTCTCTGCGCGTAGCTCAAGGGCCCCACCCTGCTCACAACCGAAACACTCCAGAAAGACTCGAAAGACCCTCGCAAGTCCGACATCCCGAGGTGCTGCTGTACGGCCCTGCAGATCCCAAGCTTCAGGAGCTGAGTCGCTGGCTTTGTCCTACAGGGCTTTTTGTGAGCTGTAAATGCTTACTTGCTCTTGGAGTTTAAGCTTCAAGGCTTCGGAGGGGTGCAGCCGGTCCTGGCCGGTCCTTCGGGCCTTGGAAAGATGGTGCCGTTACTTTGGGTTCGGTCTGGGGGGCAGCTCGAAATCCCTAATCCCTCACAGCTTTACACTCTAAAGACAGGAGCCCCTGTTGGAGCTGCTTTGGCGAGCTTTCAGGCGTGTAAAGCCCCTGGAGGAGGCCCGTCTGTGCGTGTGGGTGTGGGTGTGCCTGTCTGTGTGTGTGTGTGTGTGTGTGTGTGTGTGTGTGTCTGTCTGTCTGTCTGTCTGTGTGTCTGTCTGTGTGTCTGTCTGTGTGTCTGTCTGTGTGTCTGTCTGTCTGTCTCTGTGTGTGTGTGTGTGTCTGTCTGTCTGTGTGTCTGTGTGTCTGTCTGTGTGTCTGTGTCTGTCTGTCTGTGTCTGTGTGTGTGTGTGTGTGTGTGTGTGTGTGTGTGTGTGTGTGTGTGTGTGTGTGTGTGTGTGTGTGTGTGTGTGTGTGTGTGTGTCTTCTGTCGTCCGTGTGTGTGTGTCTGTCGTCTGTTGTCTGTGTGTGTTGTGTGTGTGTCTGTGTGTCTGTGTCTGTCTGTCTGTGTCTCTGTGTGTGTGTGTGTGTGTGTGTGTGGTGTGTTCTGTCTGTGTGTCTGTCTGTGTGTCTGTTGTCTGTGTGTCGTCTGTGTGTCTGTCTGTCTGTCTGTGCTGTATGTGGTGTGTCTGTGTGTGTGTGTTGTTGTGTGTGTCTGTGTGTGTGTTGTGTGTCTGTGTGTCTGTCTCTCTGTGTTGTGTGTGTGTGTGTGTGTCTGTGTGTGTCCCTGTCCGTGTGTCTGTGTCTGTTTGTCTGTCTGTCTGTGGTCTGTCTGTGTGCTGTCTGTGTGTCTGTCTGTGTCTCTCTCTGCTGTCTCTCTCTGTGTGTGTGTGTGTGTGTCTGTGTGTCTGTGGCTCTGTGTCTCTCTCTGTCTCTCTCTCTGGTCTTGTGTGGTGTGTGTGTGTGTGTGTGTGTGTGTGTGTGTGTGTGTGTGGTGTGTGTGTGTGTGTGTGTGTGTGTGGTGTGTGTGGTGTGCGTGTGCGTGTGCGTGTGCGTGTGCGTGGGGCGTGTGTGGGGCGTGTGGGGGGCGCGTGGGCGTGTGCGCGTGTGTGCGTGTGTACGTGTGCGTGTGTGGGCGTGTGGGTGGGTGGGTGGGTGGGTGGGTGGGTGGGTGGGTGGGTGGGTGGGTGGGTGGGTGGGTGGGTGTGTGTGTGTGTGTGTGTGTGTGTGTGTGTGTGTGTGCGTGTGTGTGTGTGTGTGTGTATATGTGTGTGTGTGTGTGTGCGTGTCTGTGCGTGTCTGCGTGTGTCTGCGTGTGTCTGTGTGTGTCGTGTGTGTGTGTGTGTGTGTGTGTCTCTGTGTGTTTCTGTGTGTCGTGTCTGTGTGTGTGTGTGTGTGCGTCTGTGTGTCTCTGTGTGTGTCTCTGTGTGTCTCTCTGTGTCTCTGTGTGTCTCTCTGTGTCTCTCTCTGTGTCTCTCTCTGTGTCTCTCTCTGTGTCTCTCTCTGTGTCTCTCTCTGTGTCTCTCTCTGTGTCTCTCTCTGTGTCTCTGTGTCTGTGTGTCTGTGTGTCTGTGTGTCTGTGTGTGTGTGTGTGTCTGTGTGTCTGTGTGTCTGTGTCTGTGTGTCTGTGTCTGTGTGTCTGTCTGTGTGTGTCTGTGTGTCTGTCTGTGTGTGTCTGTGTGTGTCTGTGTGTGTCTCTGTTTGTCTGTGCCTCTCCGTGTCTGTGTAACATTAAGTGTAAGTGCAAGTGTCTGAGTCTGTGTCCGTTCTGTCTGTTTGCATACCTTGCATGCTTGCATGCCCGAACAGAAGTTAAGCCGCCTGTCGGCTCCGGAACGTTCCAAAACAAGTCCCAGTTACCTAAAGCCTAGGACACCCAGCAAGCCACAACGAAACCCTGTACCGTGCACCCGAAACCTCAAAAACTCACCAGAACAACCCTCACACCAAAAAAGTAGAACAACAACCAAGCCGATGCCCAACCTGCATCTTAAATTTCATGCGGAGACCCAATGGCCCCAAGGCCAACCTGGCAGCAGCCCGTGGGCCGAAGCCCATTCCCAAAGTGGTGCAGCGGCTCATGCAGGCGCTGGAGAAGGGACGTCACCTGTGGTTTCGTGAAGGTGACTACTAAATTAGCGATTGCTAGTCCTCTAGCCGGCTTGGGCGAACTCCAGGAGCTTTGGGTTAGCCCAGTCTAGGGCTCGGGTGTGTGTGATTGTGATCCTTAAAAACGAAGAGTGCCATCGTCAGCTATACCTAAAGTGGCTCGAACGGTCCCAAAGCCGCAAGAAGCGGCCGGTAGACTCCAGGCTAACCTTCTCGCCCCGCAATCCGAGGTGGCTGGCAAGAAGGCCTGCAAGGCTCTCCAGGCAACGGCCCCCAAGGAGTTCGCAAAGCGACGGCAGCTCCTGCTGCAGGAATTCTCGCAGCCCCTCGGTGCATCTGGGTTTAGGGTTTAGGGTTTAGGGTTTAGGGTTTAGGGTTTAGGGTTTAGGGTTTAATTAGGGTCCAGCTTGCAATGGGTGGAGCTTGAAGGCAGCCCCTCCCAAAATGACCCAACATCCTAAGCATTCCATCAAGTCTTCCCGCAGCAAATCGATGAACCTGTGCTGCTCTACAAGACCTCCGAATCTGCAAAAAAAAACAAACTCACACATTTCTGAAGCCTCACCCAGCAACCCCTGAACCCTAAACCCCAAAACCCCAAACCCTAAACCCCATGAAGCCCCAAGCTTGTTGCGCCTGCGCCCCCTGTCCTAGAGTGGTCCAGGTCGGCGAAGCCAGGGCTGCAGGGACCCATCACCTGCAGTTTGCGCTGGGGCAAGCTGCGCCTCGGAAAGGGACTACAGGACATGGGGGTTTAGGGTTAGGGTTTTAGGGTTTAGGGTTTAGGGTTTCGGGTTTAGGGTTTAGGGTTTAGGGATGAGCCCAAGATTAGTTTTTTGCCCTCTTGGACATGCTGTTCTCCATGGGAACGGATTACTTAAGGCTTAAGGCTTAAGGCTTGTGACTTGTAAGGGACAGGTAAGATGCATGGACCTCCACCAGGCCAGCTTATGAAATCACTGGCATATGCGGGGTGCTCAAAAACATGTTTGAGAAGTCCTGGCATGAGCCTCTTGGCACAACCGATAAAATCACTTTGATGCACAGATGGAGCGTTAACTACTTGTTGAAAGGTCGCTCAAACCGAGGCCACTCACAGTTTTTTTAGCAGCTGCCTTTTGAGTGCCAAGCTTTCGTTTCCATTGGGGACTCGTCAGGGCTTGGACAGCTGAAAATGCTGTATAACGACATGTGCATACACCCCTCAACTCAATGAACAGGATGCATGCACTTCGGATGAAGCTGACAGGTAAAAATCTTTTTTGCCCCCCAATGGACCTGAAGCCAGCAATTGGGGGGGCGGTCGGGGCGCGGCGGGCGATGTCAAATAGGGACCTGCAAGGAGTACACAAATCAATGTTTGCGAAAGTTTGCGCGAAGAGCTGTCAACGGGCCGAGGCACCCTATAAGTTGGGAGCTCCCGCTTACACTAACAGTCCTTAATGGGGACATTATAGTCCCTCCCGATTATAATCCTTCATGAAGGAGCTGCTAGTATAAGGGGGGAACATCCCAACCTATAAGGCTCTTTCTAATGGCCTCAAAACCGAGGCATGCGGACGCAGCCAAGGTGAGCTTCACTCGGATCCCCGGTTTAATTCGTGAGGGTTTAGGGCTTAGGGCTCAGGGCTCAGGGCTCAGGGCTCAGGGCTTAGGGCTTAGGGCTTAGGGAGAGCAGAGAACAGCCCCAGGGTCGGCATGGCCTTTGACCTGGGCGCAAGCGGCTTCGAGCTTCCCTGGGCTTGCCTGGAGCTCCCGCCGGTGTCCTGACTGCAGCTTCTCCAAAGGTCCGTGGGGAATGCTGGGGGAACGTGGGAAAATTCGAGGGAATCTGATTTTTTTGGGACAGTTCGGGGGGGGGGGAATCTGATTCTTTTTGACACCCCCAGGTTCTCTTGCCGGAAGACGAGCAGACGCTCGCCACGGTGCTCTCCAGGCCAGCCTGGCCCATAACCTTCAGCGTGGACACGGTGGCCGCCTGCAGCCTGTTCCTTCCTTCGCCTTTAGTTGAACTTTAAGCTTTTTGGATTTCCTTATTTAGTAGGAACGTTATAAAGTTTAACCTTTTTTCCCCCTTGGTGATTGGAGAAGTAAGGTTCTCCGTTTCCTCGCTGCACCTCAAGCAGGTGGGGGGCCTGAAGGAGGTGTTGCAGCTCACGATCTCGGAGGAGCCCGGCCGCTTCATCCCGGATCTCCAGAAGCTCATCCATACCCCCCCAAGCCAGCCCAGCGAGTTCAAGGAAGCCGATGAAGCCAAAGGTGCCAAGGGGCCCAAGGGGGCCAAGGAGCCCAAGGCCGACGGAAGCTACAAGGGCCGCATCACCCGGAGCATGAGCATGGCGGCTTCCAGCCTGGCTTCGGTGGCCGCAGCCGCCATGGAGGTGGCTTTTGGAGAAGAGTTATAACGCAAACTTCCAAGCCTTTTTTTTTGTTCGTAGCTTCTCGTGCTATAGGTGTAGTTCGGTGTGAGATGCGAACTTGAGCTAGGAGTCGCTTCTCGACAACCGAGGCGAGCTCTTCTTCCTTCCGCCGGAGCCGCAGCACTCCGGTCACGAAGGCTTCGACCCAGCTTCTGGCATCAAGCCCAGCACGCTTGGCGTCCCAACACGGAGGCCAGCATGCGCAGAGTTCACCGGTGATGTCGACACCGCCCGCACAAAAGTCAAAGCCGCAACCTGCGCCTGCAAGAAGGAGCCCGTCACTTGCATCGCACGAAGTGGCTTCCAAGACCACAACAACACACACAGGCAAGCTTGACCAGACTCCAAATGCCGCCGAGAAGACTTCGGCAATTCCAGCAAGCACTCGCACCGCACGCAGCCGAACGCCAGTCAAGCCACCGCAGCCAACTGGGCAGGCCAATCAGCAGAGGTCGCAGCAGCAAACTGACCGCAATAGTGTTCCAGAACCTGCACTTCTATCCCGCCGGCGCAGCCCTTCACCCTCACTGTCGAAGCAAGGCCTAGACGCATCAGCAGATGCAGGAGCACCGACCAAGTCGGGTGCTACATCTGGAAGAAGGAGCCCGTCACCTGCATCGCACGAAGTGTTCTCCAAGAACACAGCAAAACACACAAGCAAGCTGGGCCAGACCCCATCCGAGCAGACCTCGGCAATTCCAGCAAGCACTGGCACCGCTCGCAGCCGAACGCCAGTCAAACCACCGCAGCCAGCAGAGAGCTCACCAAGGCCAGTCAAAGCAGGTGCACCTTCACATGGGGAGGCCAATGAGCAGAGGTCGCGGCAGCAAGCTGGCCGGCGCAGCCCATCACCCTCATTGCCGAAGCAAAGCGTAGATGCATCAGCAGCTAGTGGAGCACCGACCAAGTCCAATGCTACACGTGGAAGAAGGAGCCCGTCACCTGCATCGCACGAATTGGCTTCCAAGAACATAGCACAACACACAGGCAAGCTTGACCAGACTCCAAATGCCGCCGAGAAGACTTCGGCAGTTCCAGCAAGCACTCGCACAGCACGCAGCCGAACGCCAGCCAAAGCAGGTGGCCCCCTGACTGGGGAGGCCAATCAGCAGACGTCGCAGCAGCAAACTGACGGCAAAAGTGTTCCAGAACCCGCACAACCATCCCGCCGGCGCAGCCCTTCACCCTCACTGTCGAAGCAAGGCCTAGATGCATCAGAAGCTGGTGGAGCACCGACCAAGTTCAGCAGCTTGGGGCAAGCTGCCAGTGCTGCACTTGCAAGAAGGAGCCCGTCACCTGCATCGCACGACCAGTCGAAAGCTGCCAAGGCAAGTGCTCCACCAAAACCAGGTCTCAGCCAAGGTCGGGAGGCCGGCAAGGATGGCAACCCGGGCAACTCAGAGCTGCCATCGACTCCTCGCGTTGTGGCTGCAAAGGACGCGGGTGCCCCGAAGCGAAACGCATCACCTGCTCCGAGTCTCCCGAGTCTCCGAAGGCCGAACCATCCAGGAATTGCCGCGTTGCTGACGGCAACTACGCGGTCAAGGCAAGCAGCGATGGCGAATCAGAACGTTGCCCAGCTCACAACGACAGTCTCTGCCCAGCCAAAACGGGAGCTGTCACCCCAACCAGCTGCGTCGCTGCGCACGGAGGTCCCGGAAATCCCGCGTCCAGCAAGCCCCAGCAAAGTTCGGCTTTCGGATGCAACCGCCATTGCCAGTGAGGCAGCGGATCTCGGAATCATGCACCCCGCCACACTCAGGCAGCTCTGCCTGGATCGGGGACTTTCCTCCGAGGGACTGCGGACACAGCTCATCTCTCGCTTGTTGCTTCAGAGCATCACGAAGAAGCCTCACACGGAGGAAGAATGCTCGAGCCCGGCACCCATGAGCCCAAGGTTCGCACCCTTCAATGCCATCCACAAGTCGGAGCTGCAGGCCGCCTGCAGCCGCCAAGGCTTGCCGGAGTCGGGCACTTCTGATGACTTGTTGTACCTAGAGCCCCCTTGGGAGTTTTTTGTTATTTTTGTTTATACAAAACCCAAGAGGGCATTAAACAATAATTTTTGTTAAGGTTCTAAGGGGAGTATAGGTACCGGCTGCGGCAGCACAGAAACGAAGCGGCTGATGTGGCTGGGAATGCGGGGAAGGATGCCGTGCTTGAGCCCACACCTAGGTCCACCTCGTGGCAACGCGGCTTCTCCATGCCTCCCACACATGGCACACCTGGCAGACCCCTGCCTGTTTCCCCAGGGCCGTGGGCGAGGTCGGCATCAACGCCGCGCCACCGAATCCGAAGCAAGAGCCCAGCTCCGAAGGAATGGTGCAGCACTCCCGGCACTCCCCCTCGCCGTGTTCGCGGCAAGAGCGTCGATGCGCGAGGGCCAGGCACGCCCTTCAAGGCCCCAATCCCAGCCCAGCGCAGCAGCCTCGCCGCGCGGGGCGGCGCAGCGGTTCAGTCCCTCCTCACCCTCCGTCCAGAGCAGCTTGCCAAGGAGTGTGAGCGAATGAGCTTAAGCCCGCGGCAGTCGCCCCATGCCATGGCATGCCGTCTGGCGGCTGCCCGCCTCCGAGGGGAGAGCACCAAGGGATCACATGGATCACCCAGCTCCAGCGCAACGGAGCTGCTGGCGCGCTCCCCGCACTCCTTCTCCGGGCACGTGACCCAGATTCCCGAGAACCTCCCGATCCAGAAGCCCATGCCCATCCTTCGCAGCCGCTCTGCGACGCCCAGGAAAACCAAGACCCCTTCCCGAGCACCAACCCCTCGAAGCACACGCGCCCGATCCCCAAGCTGTTCCAAGAGACCTCGCAGCCTTCTCTGCGCAGCCCCGGGGGCAAAGCGTGGTGAATCTCCACCTTCCACGCCCCCCCGGCGCAGCGCACCCAGGTCCCCAGTGCCCTCCACAGCCTCCAAGCTGCCGCGTGAGAGGTCCGCCCCAAAGAGTCCGAAGAATCCGAAGAGGACCGGCCGCTCCCGCACCCCGCGGCGCACGCCCAAGGCTGGAGGCTGCCATGCAAACACCTTGGCCGGCCTGCCCTGCCAGAGATCTGGCAAGATCCGGCCGGCCCAGGCGCTCTTTTACTATTGCGCAATGCACGCTCCCAAATGGAAAGCCCACGAGCGCTGATGTGAGCCCGGAATATCTCTCTTGTACAGGTAGGTCTTGAGCTCGGTGCACTTCGATGCATTGGAAGAAAGTTGCAAGGTTGCGAAGAGTGCACACTTGTCACTTGCCCTATTGAAGCTCCCAGCCAACTGCCGCTACCACGCAGGAATACCTCCTGCAGGAGATCTACGGCTTAGCAGATTTGGGCAAGGAGTGTGAAGCACTTGGCACTCTGTACAGCTTAAAGCTTCACTGTAGCTGCAGGATTGAGGGCCCCAAGAATTTTCGGATGTGAGTTACCGGGTTCCAGTTCACATTGCTATTGTTTGGTTGTACCTGAAACAGTGGCTTGACACGCTTTGAGCTGCCGAAGCGGAGTTCTGCCCTGAACAGCCCTTTATAACGACGAGCCGACTCCGAGAGGACGACCCTGCGCACGACGAGACCTCCCGGGGGGAGCCATGTAGGGGCCCCCAGGAGTTCTCAAGTGTTCCGGTCGAGGGACTCGGGCCCCCTCAGGGAGGAATTCCCAAGATTTTTGTCTTGGGTTGTAGCCCCGTGTCCTTTGTTGGCTGTTTGTTTGTACCAATCTGACTGGGTCTACTCTTGTCCCAAAGTTGTTCAATCTTCATCGTGGGTCTGTGGCTTGAGAATTGGGAAACTTTCGTATGGCATCGCAGCTGGATCGGACCTCAAGGCCTCAAAAACCACTGAGATGCCCATTGGGCCATGCCGCTTGGGCAGCGAACAAAACCTTCCATGACATCTTGGCATCTTTGTGCTACTTTAAACTCGATCTCCTCGATCTCCTCTAGGTCCTCAACAGGCTGAACAGTTTCTTTAACTCCTCACACCTCATGCGTGGAAATCCGCCCCTAAATCTGTGCAAATGCTGATTCGTAGGCCGATGGCGCAACAAGAGGTCAAGGCCTATCAGTTTCTTTGTAAACCTCGTTCCCGAACCCTTGTAATCACCAAGCAGTTGGGATGTTCGCCCATTATACTAACAGCCCTTAATCGGGGCAGCCTTTGCAAGACATCTCCAGGTTTTTTTTGCCTCGCCCTAAGCCCTATAAGCCCTAAACCCTAAACCCTAAACCCTAAACCCTAAGCCCTAAGCCCTAAGCCCTAAACCCTAAACCCTAAACCCTAAACCCTAAACCCTGCCCAAGGCGTGATCTGCCTCACAGACCCCCGCACCACCGCCATCCTTCCCTGTCGGCACCTATGCCTTTGCGAGGCCTGGCAGGGGGGGGGTTTCCGAGTTTCAGAGGGTGCCCTTGCTGGGGGCCCTTATGCTAAGGGAGTCCTGCTATCATTTGGGGGGGTCTATATGAAAGTGACTACTGCAAGGGCCTTCCGAATCGAGGTTTCAGAGGCGTGTTGAGGGCTTTCAGCTTCGAGCATGTTGGGGGGTTTTAGGGGTTCAGCGGATGTGAAGCTTGAGTGACGTGATTCTTTCTGGGTTTCACGGTTCAATCTTTGCATCTTGCATGCTTCTTGCAGAGGAAGAGGTTGGGGAAGCCCGCTCTGTACGAGGCGGCATGCATGGACTTACCCAGATCTAAAATCCTATCCCTGAATATTCCCAAGAATCTCAAGACACGAGAATTGAAGTTCAGACCTGGGGACATGCCCCGTTTCTTGAACTACAAGGCGCCCCAGAGTCCACCGAGACATCTACGAAACACCCTGCTAGAGCTGCGATGCGGAGGAGTGCGCACAGCAGCTGTCCATCGGTGCGCAAGTGCAAGGACGCTTGAAGCCGTTGTTGCAAGTTGTAGCTAGCATGATTGAAATCCTAGCGATCCCGGTAGCTGTCGTGTTTGTTGTACCCTGACCTGGTATCCTCGAGGAGAGCCAATTAAAAAAGGGAGCAACAGCCATGAGTAGCAAGACCTGTGTCAAGTTCGCATAGTCCAGCAGGACTCACACCAACCTAGAACTTGCAAATGGAACACGCGTTGAAGTACCGTTTGAAGCTGATGCCGCGGCTCTCCCCCCTGTGCACTGCTCGTTGCTCGAACCCCTGCTTGTTTTACACGCTTCGCGTGTGCAGGTGAGACATGGTGAGACTGAGCAACAGTATTGCTAGGCCACGCGCCTCGGCCTCTGCCCAGCGGTGAGGCAATCCATATCAGAGATCGCAGGTGTGAAGCTTGTTGTAACACGCAGGCTCATGTTCAGATGTGTAGAAGGGGAGGAGGCGGGGCGGGGCAGGGGCGGGGGGGTGGCGTCGGGGCTTTATGCTACCCAGACACCTATACGGCCCGAGGTTTCGGCGGCGGACATAGCGCACAAAATGAGTTTCCTGAGTTTGCGCGACACTGGCAGGAGACACTTGCCCAATCTGCCGCGGGAGGATCGACAGCATCCAAGTTTTCGAGGTCAAAGCAGCGTAGCTGCCAGCCAGACCAAAGGAGGGCCTTGGGCACTTTGAGGCTCTCGGGCCTCGGGACCTCTGATGATCACGGCAAGCATATTGTCAGGCCACCCACAAACAAGTCCGTCATCGTAAGCCCCTGAAGTTCCGACTCGGGTCCCAGACTCCTAAGCCATGATAGGCCAGAATAAGCCTTAATAAGCCAGCACCAACGCGCTGAACCCACATGAACCTTGGAGCGGCGTGGAGTGCGGTAACACTGTAAGTGTCGCATCTTAGCCATATTGTGCCAGTGCCAAAAGTGCAGGCACAAAGCAAGCGCCGAGCCACTGGAGAAACGTTGCTTTGAATGGCTCGGGTCCTGTAGCCGCTTGTAGGTTCGACTAGAGGCTGGTCTCAGTTCTCGGACTGCTCAGGTAGGGGCTTACTGCGGCTCGCATAAGGTAGCCGGCAACACTACGGATCATTCTTGGCTAAGGGATGCTAAGAGTGATTCGCCAGGACTATCTGGTAGGTTCGTCGGCCGTCGTATTTTGCGACGCCGCTCTCACGACGACGGCCAAATATGTTCTGATCGCACCCCTCACTCCGCCTATGTAGGCCCTAGAATGGCATTAGGATGTAGGTATTGTCCAGAGATAACGGTGACTTCGAAGGCAGCGAAGCATGCTCGTTTTGGTTGACTAGCCGTCGTCAGTCGAACTGGTCTGAAAGCGATATGTAAGACTTCCACATGCTGGGGTCATGTTTCTGATGATCGTGGTGTGGCCTCAACAGACCCGGAGTGTGTCCAGCTTCATTCGCTGCAAGCGCCGCAGGGACAAGAGTAGGACTCAGATGTGAGGGCAGAAACAGACATTTGGCATGGGTATATCATACGGTGTGCCTCCCGCAACATCTACTTATTCTTGGTACTGCAAAATTTGCAATTCGCATTTCTCTCGCGCCTTGTGAAATTGCGCATGCCCTGTCCCGCCGGCTAAACAATCGCAGTCTCCGCCCAGCTGCTGAGAACAAGGACCTGGCATCGGGTTCGACTGGTCCAACTTGAATAGACAATACTAGACCCTTTCATGGTAGCTGTAGCCCGGGCCGAACCACCCGTGCCTTGAACTCAGAATCTTTGTCGATTCAACCCGAAGGCCTGAAGAGCCTCCATCCAATACCCGTCTCATCCCTCCTCGCAAGACTCCAGAGACAGACACCCCAGAGCCACAGCGTCCTGGTTTTCGTCTCACCTTTGATTTTGAGTTGAAGCGTAGAGCCGTGAGCCCCACACAGAGAGGGCATTGCCAATTGTTGGCCCGTGGTCTGGACATTTTGTTTTGACGACTTGCCGATGCATGAAACGTTCGGCTGGGGTTTGAGTCTTTTGACTCTGCGTAGGCACAGCTCCCTTTTAATGAATACACACTCATGCCGTATCACGGCGACTGCGCATTAAGACAGGAGCATCCATCTCAGTGGCATACCCTAAGGCCACTGCCACTCGAGCCTACCCTCAACTCCCTCAAGCCGCCCTTGTGGCGCTTACACGGCCTGCACCCAAACATCCCCCTCATCCGCAACACTCCCCTATAGCCGACTGTGGCACGTCACACGTCACATTATGTGACCCGCCACTTTGCGCGTCCGATGCAAGGCCATGGAGACCCAGCCCCATCCAGGCAGGTTGCTCTGCGATGCTGCGTGCGTGCGACGTCAGCAACTGCATTAAGCCTTAAGTGCCATAAGCCAAACGAAGCCAAGAAAGCCAAAGGGAAGGCAAAGGAAGCCAAGCGAATGGCAGACGAGCCTGGAGCCTGCTCGCCAGATGACGCGGGCCACCGCCCGCGCGGCTGGCCAGGCTTCCTTCAGGCGATGCGTCCGCGCGCAATCCCCATAGCAGCCCTGAACCCCGATGCCAGCAGTTCCTAGAAGCCCTGAAGGGCCCTGAAGCATCCTGAAGCCCGGAGAAGCAGGTCCTCTAACATGCCCAGAACCATGCTCCATAAGCTCTAAGCCCCGAGATGACTTGCGCCTTTGTTCCAGGGCTCAGAAGAACTGGGCTCGCGTGGAGGCCTCTTCGATGATAGCAGGCGGGATGCTCTGCTTGAGTGACTATATCCCCCTGGGGAATTATTTTTCTTTATTGTTCATATAAAACCCCAGAGTTCATGAAGCATATTGTTTTTTGTTGAGGTTCGAAGGGGAGTATAGGTGAAGGTGTGCTCAGCTCGTGCTCAGCTTCCCTTAGTCAGCCTCAGTGCCTGACATGGTGGATGGTGGTTTCCGGGGTCCTTTTTCTAAGGAAAATCGATTATTTGGGGGTCTATATTAGGCGTCCCCTATTGTCGGAAGCCCCAACATGTTTTTGCTGGTAGATTTGGGTTCATTTAGATTGTGCAGTCTGTGAGAGTTCGGCAGCCATGCTCATCGCAAAGCTGGGCGAGTGCCAACAGACTCAGGAGCCAAGCCTCACAGCTCACAAGCCCACAGCCCTCTGTAGTTGTTTTCTCCTTGGTTCCAAGAATCTCCTTGCGGGAAATGAAGAGAAGACGGCGCGTGGAGGCAGGCCTCGGGCCACCTGCGCGCAAATACCAAGCTCTAGGGATGCCAGCCGAGATCCTGGCGAGGCGAACCGGCCAGTAGACATTGC